GGGGGGGGGGGGGGGGGGGGGGGGGGATACCCCCGCCCAAAAAAAAGGCGGGGGCGGGGGGGGGGGGGGGGGCCAAGGCACCGCAGCGGCTCCCCGAAACACTTTGGAAACGGGCGCGCACCACATCACCAGTCCACAAGAGAGTGAGGAGAAAAAAACCCACGACCCAACAGGAACCAACGACGCCAGGTCCAGCACGAATAACATAACACACAGCTGGACAAGCTAACAAGGGGGGGGGGGGAAGCCGCGGTCGCTGGCCCTCAAACGAGTCATATCTCCACTTTTTGACAGCCTTGCACATATTCGAATGTATTAAAACCGTCTTTATATAGACCAGGTGTCTTGCCCGTTCCTAACGGCTCAATTTACATGAAGTAAGCCTGACCAAGCCGTCGGAAAGAGCTTCTTTTGATCAATCGTCCGGTCGGTCAACCATATCGCGAAAGCTTGCTTCATAGCCAGCCGACCCGATCAGTTTTACGGATCTGACGGCTTGACTAACCTACCACCCAAGCTTCATACACTTCATATGGTCCCGATAAAATTTCCCGCTATCACCACACACCGCAAATGGGTCAAGCATCGCTTCGATGCACATTCATCACAGTGAATCATAATCATGAAGTGCAGAGGACAAAAACGTTGGAGAGAATTCATGTGCTCATATTCAGCTATTCGCTAAGTAAACCCATGCAATCGACCCCATGCTTGGCCATGGGGTCGATGTTGAACCCTTGTCGGGTTCGAAGGAGATTTTTTAAGGTTATCACACCTTGTACATCATCCTCCGTTGCATGTAAATTGGTCGGTGAGAGACGCGATTAATGTTCCCCTTCAAGACATCTTCTTTCGGATTGTCGTTGTTAGGCACGCTTTGTCGAGCATAATGCCTCGCTGCCATCGCTGCACACATCACCCCAAACCTCAACGCCTCAAAACAGAAACGCCCGCCTTTGGCCGCAGCTACGCCGAGCGCCAGGGAATCGTCGCGTTCGGCTGGCATTGGGCCTCAACCTTCTGTAAGTTGTTGGCCGAGCTGATGCGACAATGCCACCCCTCACGTCCAGCCTCACGCGACTGCGGGAGTTGGAAGACCTCTAGTGGGCAACCATGCCGCCCTGGGAATCGTTCTTGGGACCCTGGCGATCGGGGAACTGTTGATACCATTGTCAGTGAATTGCACTTGAGGTGGTGTGTATTACGGATGCCTTACCTCAACATTCTGGGTGTCACCCTTCTCAAGGATCTGCTTGATCACCTCGTCGTCGACGCTGGTGCCAAACTCGTTCTCGAGTGTGGACTTGGAAGCGGCATCGTACTGGCCCTGAGCACCTTGCCTAGTTCGTTGGGTTAGCCACTATGCGTTATGTATGGACATGCGGGGTAGGCTATCTGGGTGTCGGTGGCATGTTTGAAAGCAACGATTGGAGTTCCAAATGCTCCACCGCCGTGTCATAGGCCGAAGCCTTTGCAATTACAGACATCAAGCCCAATTGGGCCAGCGATGGTGAATCAACAGCCAGATGAAGCACTGGTGATGGAAAGGGAGAAGAAGATGGAAGACAAAGCTGCAACTTACTTGTGCGTGACGAAGATCTTGTATGAGGAAACGAAGTGTGCCAGAGGAACAGACTTGTCAGTCTTCCACTTCTTGTAGAGCTCGGGGTCCTCAACGAAGATGATGAAGTCGTCCTCCTGGCCCTTGAAGTGAACCTTGGTCTGGGAAGCCTCGCCGCGAACCATTTTGACTGTTGTGGTGGTGGTGTGTGGTAGTGTAGTGTGTTTTGAAAAGTGATTGGATGATGAACTCTCGATGGAGGTCTTGTAGTTTGATAGGAATGTGCGTGGAAGACGAAAGTCGTCGGGTATCTCAAGATGTTTTTGTTTGGTTGATTGATCTGAAGAGGAGGAGATAGAAGGGAGCTTACGGTACGCCGCAGCCTTTTAATATGAGAAAAAGCTGAGGAGGGGGAGGAGCTTCCCCCAGCTACGCTAGGAGGAGAGGGCGGGAGCTGGGAAGCTCGTGATTTGGAAGGTACGTCATAGGTGCGGGAACACGCGACTGCCTTTCATCACTGCCCCGCCATTGGGGAGCTTGCCCAGGCAGGGAGCGGGGCAGCTATGTGCTCCGTGCATCGCCCAGCTGGTCCAGGCACGTCGCCAAACTCGCCCATTAGGTACCGGGAACTCTGAGCGTTCCTGCATCGCACCACTGTAGTACGTCACCGCTAATCTCAGACCAAGGAAAGTAGGCCCAAGGGGTGTTTACACGTTGCGATACCTAACTTGCGGCTAGAATGATCTAGATGGGGAAGGAAACGTTTGGCACATAGTACGGAGCACCTACCTTACTTTTGTGTACCTCGCTATAGCCTTCCTCGCGGTGCAAACTCAACAGCCCTTGATGTTCCGAGGTACCTTACATCCATGCAAGCCACCTGACTGGCCAGGGCAGCTTGCTATGGTGGGGCTAACAACGGAAGCTCAACACCCACTGTCCCCAGAAGGTCCAAACATGGAGACGGACGTCCGCAGAAAGAGGCATTACCAGGAGTCAAGCCTCACGATGGCATCACTGACATCATACGGTGTAACTTTGAGTATGTGTAACTTATTGCGGTGGGTAATGAGCAATCTAACGCAGGGGTATCATTATACTCTCGTCAACTCGACGACAAAAACAATCAGAACTAAGAATGGCTCCATATGAACTCAGTGCTTTTCCCCTCTTCAGAGTTCCTCAATGAATATAGCCAATGGGCGTAAGATAGTGACGTGCACCTCCATCTTTCGCATCCAATTCCAGTCAATCTGTCGTTATTCATCCATTGAAGCGGACCAAAGGCCAAAGGCTGCAGCTGGTCTTCATCGAAAGAAGCTTCGGATGCCCTGGACCAAATCGTCTCTGTTCAATGTGCCAACCTTTCCCCATCGCATCGACGCCTTGTGGGACAGCTTGGGCCCTTTTGGCGCCCGATGTTGATGCTCTCGGTAAATGCTTTTTACGGAAGGACAGGGTGATTTTCTGTCGGTAATTTGGTCTCGGCGCACTCGCGGCAAGTTGTTTCCTGACGCAGTGCGCAAAATGGATGGTCTCGATGTATACGCGTCCCCAGAGTAGATGTGTTCCAGCCGCAATTGTTCGACTGGATCTGCATGAACAAGAATCTTGGCCGGGTTCAACATCGGGGTCGCCGGAGCACTAACCGTGCTTATAACCTCGACATCGTCGTCGATTTTGGGCAAACGAGTCTTTGTTGTTTCACTAGCTTCATCGTCGAGACCGTGCTCAATATTCAAACGCTCCTCTCTGCAGAGCTTGGAGGCATGTCCGTGGTGCGCGTTTTCTTGCTTCTCTGCCACATTCTCGTCGGGGACGAGCTTCCCCATGCTTGCAACACTGTTGGACCTCTTTGCAAAAGAGCTGGCGATACTTGCAACGCTGAGCTTCCGCATCATTGTACTAGCCGAACTTCGAACCAAGTGTTCAGAGCGAGATCTACCAGTCATGCCGGGGAACGGGAGAATATCTCGGCTCCAGATATCAGACATGAGAGCTTCAAGTCGAGCTCTCTCGCCTCGCGGAGGTGCCAGAATTGGAATACGAGGGTTCGTTGTGAGCAGTGATTGCGAACGATTGATAGATGTAGTGGATGCGGCATCTGAGTTGTCTCGCATAACACTAGTATTCTTCAAAATGACCTGACACAAGGGCGATTTTGGGCCAACTGTGGTAGCGCGATGAATCGATATCCGACGGGCAACAGTGCCTGGGCAGCTGTCAATAACTTGGGCCGAAGACTTTTGGGGGAAACAAGACAAACCTGGTTTTCTAAACACCGTACCGAGACTTTTCATGTTCAAAGACATTGAGCTGTACAGATTAGGATCGATCTGCTCTTGCTCTCCCGTTGTGGCACCCGACAACCGGCTTCGCCATTCTTCTTGCTCTCGAGGCGAACATGCAGTCATGAGTATCTCGTATAGCTGGGAATCGCACTCAAAAACAAGTTTCCATGAGAATGGAGCTGTGTGGCATTGAAGACCTTCGAAGTGTTAGCAGAGAAACTCGGGCAATCATGTGGAAACGCTGCAAACCTCTCCCATTATCCGTCTCCTCGATTTTGATGCTGGCCAGGTTGATACATGCTTGGATAGTGTAGAACTGGTCCACTTTGCTGGCTGAAGCTAGACAAAAGACATTGTGATAGAGGAGACATATCATGTACTGTCCTTTTGCGCCGTCTTTTGTTTGCCAGCAAACATGCAGTGCACCGCAAAGCTCAACATGGCCAAAGGACCTGATTCGGTTTTTCGATGCTGCATCAAGTTTCTTCCCAAAGCTGTTAATTAAAATCCGTGAGCCCTTTGTGATACTGACTTACTTGCTCCGGGAAAACCAATCTGTCTTGAAGAACCCAAGTTCTTTCCAGCGTGGATTTCATTCGCCTATCGTTCGTCGCTCGATTGATCTCAGATGTGGCCTCTCGCAGTCGCAAAAGAGCGCTTTCAACCTCCATGTGGGAATTCGGACAGTCTGCCACAGGTGTGTGCTTCAGAAGTTCGGCAAAAAGCAGAGGATACTTGCAGATCCGCTGGATTGGCTAAAAGTTCATCAGCACCACGTCTGATACCGATTGGAGCACGTTGCTAACCTTGACAAGGAGATCTCCAATAGTCAGTGACTTCTTTGCCTGGTCGGCATGACTGTTTGCAGAACCCAACGATGAAGCGAGTGTCTCAATGCCCCTCTGATAGGTATCCCATTGCGGCATAGTCCGATGAGCCGAAGCGACATCCTTGATCATCATCTCATACTTTGCGCCGTATTCCTCGTAAATGAAGAAGCGGTTCATCTGCAAAACAGGTCAGCAATGACGCTCAGCCATGGTGATATGTGGACTCGAGCAATTACCTTTCTACTGAACACCTTTGCCACATCTCCGGCAACCTGTGCTTCGGAAATCATACCAGGTACTTCTTGAAGCCAGTTTATGGCCCTGTCGTCGTCTTCTGGTACAGAATCGAGACTCCTCATTCGCTGATGTCCACGGCTAGGAGGCTTTCTGGGCAACGACGAGATCTCCATTTGGGTGTACTCTGAGTCCGGCACAGCGCGGTGCAGCTCGCCCAATAGCTCTTCATGGAGTTCGACGATATCCGTGAGATTGCGGTTGATCGAGGACCTAAGCCCGGGAGGTAGAGTGGGTAGGGAAGCGAGAATCGTAATGTAAACCTATCAAAGTTAGCTTTCTCTACGTTTTGTAGCCTTTCCCTGGACATCATTGGCGACGTACATTCATCAGGAAGCGGACATCCGCAATATAACCTTCCTCTGTGCTGATGAGTTCCTCCAAGATGCGTCTACGCTGCAAGGCGCGTTCGGTTGCCAACGGATCAACCTGAACTGACCACTCGACATTGCAACTGTCTTCCGAAAATCTGGTCGCGGTGAAAGAACCTCTGCTGCTGCGCTCGGTTCTGGAATAGGCCAGCGAGCGGCGGCTGTTGCCTCGAGGGCGTGTTACAGCACTGCCGCTAGCAAGACTGACACTAGCACTTTTCACCGCAGCGACGAATCCGAAAGATGAACCTGATGATGACCTCCTGTGGCGAGTCCTCCGAGAAAGTGCTGACCTATCAGCCGAGTCCAGAAGCTTCCAAGGTAGGGAACCATCCCCATTCATAGGCCGTGGCCGCTGCTTGGCGCGTCGATGGAGAGTTCTCATCCATTTGTGAAATGGACCTCGTTTGGAGGAAGTGTCCGAGTCCGAAAGCTCATGGTCGTCATCGTCGCTGCCATCCACTGAGATCCGAGGGAACGGAATGAGATCGTCATGGGAGTCGCCGTTGTTGGGCTCTGATCCTAAAACAGCCATGCTGCTTAAAGTATTCCAAGCCTCGACGCCGTTAATGTGCAGACCGTCGAGACCGGAAGAAAGGTCGACATTTTCAAAAACCTCGTCAGACTTGATGGAATCTTGTTGTGACGCGGGCGATGGGGGACTCGATGTGGCGCAATCTGTCTTACGGTTGATTCGGACGGAGCTGGAGCGGGAGCAAGATCCAAGAGATGCAGAGTCTGGTGGTGGTGGTGGCAAAGCCATTGCGACGTCCAAGAAAGAAGAGGGTAAGACTGGGTTCCAAGACACCAAAAAAAGGAAGCAATAGCGGTTCCAAGAGGATTCAAAACATGATGTATGGTATCAACACCAAGAGATGAGTGATGCAAATTTTGCTGGGACTGCCAGCTGTGGGAAGCTCGAGAGGGTTGAGGCAGAAGAGGATGATGCCCAGTCGCCGGCGTGGGATTTCTTAGTCCAGGCACGGGAGGAAAGCCAGCGTGGGTCACTAGAACGAAGGAGGGAAGGAGGATTTCGAGGCCGGAAAGCTCTTTCAAGACGAATGACGAGGAGGGCAAGAGGAAGGAAGAGAGGAGGAGCAGGCGCGGCACTTTAGACATACACCATAGGGAATGCAAGGAAAGCTGACTGTTGGCCGAAGGGACGACTCCGGCCGAACCACGGAGCTCGAACTCAACATTCATCGTTCTTCCTATGCCGGCATCTACATGTCGACGACGATCAAGCTCTACACACAGTAGCTTGGTTCTCGTGACACGGCGTGGTACGGAGCTGCGGTGGAGAGTCGCACCCGGCGAATCCACCAACAAGCCGGTCGGGAGGAATGCAGCTGCGACATGCAGCCTGCCCGCCGGGCCAGAAAACGCGTCTCTAGTGTGCATCGTTGTCGGGTCGAGATCTGTGGATCTTGCGTCCTCGACGCGAATTGACTGCCATCGTAGCACACATTCTGCCGGAAGATGAAGCTGCCGCCGGTTCGGAGTTCCTGCTGAAGCTCGATGCAGACTTTGGTTCAGCATGGTGAGTCCGAAGGTGAAAAACTCAACATGGCGGTGACGGGCCGCGGCCCATCAGCGCCATCAGCGCCATGTCTTGATGCGCGGCGTAGCGAGCGGGAGACAAAGAAACCTCTTTGCCAGTCTAGTGATCTAGTCGTCTATTGATCTAGACCGGACATTTGTTCTCGCCGCCCACCATACGAGTCCTGGTGGCTTGAGCGTACCGTTTATCCATATCGCTTGACTACGAGTGTTTGGCGGGATGTATGGGAGATGTGATCTCGATACCCCGAGACTTCAAAGTGGGTGTCAATCGCCTCCATGACCCACGTTTTCGTCTTGCCTTACGCAAGACATGCGGACGATGTTGATGCAATGGTTGCAGGCCGTTATCCATACGTTGGCGGCGTTCCTAAACCCTGACTCGGGCTCGGCGCGAGCGCCCAAGTGGCTCCGGAGCGGCCTAGTGCTGGTCCACTCAAGACGGGGACGGCGGGCCTCAATCGGAAAGGGAACCTCTAGCCAGTCACGTGAGAAGGTGATTATGTCATTATGGAGGACTTCCACCCCGTGCCACCCAGGCACAGCACGGTACGAAACGCAGGCACACCAGGCACTTCCGGTAAACGGTTAGTCAGCACTGGAGTCGACCAGTGTGTAAGCTTATCTCTGAGGTCAGCTAGGCGGGTACGTACTCCGTATCGTATCCAGGTTGCCAGGTTCACGTCAAAGAGCTCCCCTTTCCCCCCTCCACTCTGCCCTACGCTCCGGATTATCGGCTTCGGTACGGTGGTTCTAATTGGCCCCTGCCCCACGTTTTCTTGCTTCGGGGCCGCAGTGGCTGGTCCCCGATATGGACAGATATGGGCCAGTTTCCCAGGGACGCACAGGTGAAATGCTGGGACCTTAGGAGTCTTGTTTCTTGTTACAGGGGCTCCCCCACCAGCGCTAGCCCGAGAAGGACAAGCTCGGGATCTTTCCTCGACGGCCAAAAAAAAAGGTTCCAGAAGGGGCAGCTATCCGTTCCGCACTGTTACTGCTAGGCAAACACTGAACGAACACGTAGAGCGTATTGGAAACCCGGTGGGCGTTCGGCGACGATTTCAGCTTCCTGCCCCACCGCAACGGCAATAAGATACGCTGTCTGTTTGATCGCAACTTTTCCAGCACCTTCTTCTTTTTCTCCTTTACATCCTTAGCCTTTTCTTTCGCAAGGTTCGGATCTCAATTGTTTCCTTCCCTCTTCAACACCATCTGAAGAGTATCTTCGTGTCCTCCGTTTTCTCATTCGACAACAGCCTCCAACGGCCGCTGCAACTCGGCTAGATAGTGACGGTTCCTCGACAAGACAAGTCCCGCGCGCAGCGCAGCTTTCGCGATGGAGAGCGCATTCGCCTCGCCCACCGAAAAGGTCCTCTCGACTCTGGGAGTGAACCCCAAGACCGGCCTTACTGATGATCAAGTCATTGCCTCGCGCACCAAGCATGGCAAGAATGGTAAGTAGCTTTGCGACTCGGCCCGAAACCCACGATAGTTTCGTGCTAACCGTCCGTCCACAGTTATCCCCGAAGAACCTCCGACGCCCATCTGGGAGCTCATCCTCGAGCAATTCAAGGACCAACTCGTCATAATCCTCCTCGGTTCTGCCGCTGTTTCTTTCGTTCTGGCACTCTTCGACAACGAGGAAGGCTGGAGCGCCTTCGTCGACCCAGCAGTGGTACGTAATCTTGGATGTGAATACCCACAATGCCCAGACTTTGCCCGGCTAACAATGCCGATTTCCAGATTCTGACCATTCTCATCCTCAACGCCGTCGTCGGTGTCTCACAAGAGAGCAGCGCCGAGAAAGCCATCGCCGCCCTGCAGGAGTACTCTGCTAACTCTGCCAACGTCATCCGTAACGGCCAAGTCTCCCGTGTCAAGGCTGAGGAGCTCGTCCCCGGTGATGTCGTCTCCGTCCACATTGGTGATCGCATTCCTGCCGACTGCCGTATCATCGCCATCGAGAGTAACAGCTTCAACGTCGACCAGGCTATCTTGACTGGAGAGAGCGAGAGTGTTGGCAAGGACTGCGATCATGTCGTCAAGGATGAGAAGGCTGTGTTGCAAGACCAGACCAACATGTTGTTTTCCGGAACCACTGTTGTTACTGGTCGCGCAAAGGCTGTCGTTGTCTTGACTGGTTCCCAAACTGCCATTGGCGATATTCACGAGAGCATCACCGCCCAGATCTCCGAGCCCACTCCTCTTAAGCAGAAGCTCAACGACTTCGGCGACAGTCTCGCAAAGGTTATCACGGTCATTTGCATCCTCGTCTGGCTCATCAACATCCCTCACTTCAGCGACCCCAGCCACGGATCCTTCACTAAGGGTGCCATCTACTACTTGAAGATCGCCGTGTCTCTCGGTGTCGCCGCTATCCCCGAAGGTCTCGCCGTTGTCATTACTACCTGCTTGGCTCTCGGAACTCGCAAGATGGCCGCAAAGAATGCTGTTGTCAGAAGCTTGCCGTCCGTTGAGACCCTTGGAAGCTGCAGCGTCATTTGCTCCGATAAGACCGGTACCCTCACCACCAACCAGATGAGTGTCAGCAAGCTTGTCTACATCAGCGAGAATGGATCAGACCTCGTTGAGCACGATGTCGAAGGCACCACATTTGCCCCCAAGGGTTCTATCTCTCTCAGAGGCCAGACTGTTACCGATCTTACCCGCTCTTCTGCTACTGTCCGCCAGATGACTGAGGTCGCGGCCGTGTGCAACGACTCCAAGCTTGCCTACGATGCGGCCAAGGGTAACTTCTCCAACGTCGGTGAGCCTACTGAGGGCGCTCTGAGAGTTCTTGTTGAGAAGCTTGGACCGTGTGCGCCTTCCAACAGCAACCCCGAGGACTGTCTCCACTTCGCTAGCTCTCAGTATGAGAGCCAGCTCCCCCGTCTGTCTACCTATGAATTCTCCAGAGATCGCAAGAGCATGTCCGTCCTTGTTCAGAACGGTCAAGAGAAGAAGCTCCTGGTAAAGGGTGCTCCCGAGTCTGTCCTTGAACGCTGCACCCACACTCTTGTTGGAGCCAACGGAAAGCGTCAGCCCCTGAACAGCAAGCTCGCCGATTTGATCGCCAAGGAAGTTGTCGACTACGGTAACCGCGGTCTGCGTGTCATTGCCCTCGCCAGCGTCGACAATGTTGGCGAGAACCCCGCGTTGAAGTCAGCCAAGTCTACCGCACAGTACGCCCAAATCGAGCAGAACATGACCTTCCTCGGATTGGTTGGTATGCTCGATCCTCCTCGCCCGGAAGTTGCGGCTTCCATCCGCCACTGCAAGAACGCCGGAATTCGTGTCATTGTTATCACTGGAGACAACCGTAACACCGCTGAGAGCATTTGCCGACAGATTGGTGTCTTTGACGAGTATGAAGACCTCAAGGGTAAGAGTTTCACTGGCAGAGAGTTTGAGAACCTGAGCGACAGCGAGGCAAACGAAGCTGCCAGAAATGCCTCTCTTTTCTCCCGTGTCGAGCCCAGCCACAAGTCCAAGCTTGTCGACCTTCTCCAGCAACAGGGAGAGGTCGTCGCCATGACCGGTGATGGTGTCAACGATGCTCCCGCTCTCAAGAAGGCTGATATTGGTGTCGCCATGGGCTCTGGCACTGATGTCTCTAAGCTCGCCGCCGACATGGTTCTTGCCGATGACAACTTTGCTACCATTGAGGTTGCCATTGAGGAAGGCCGTTCCATCTACAACAACACCCAGCAGTTCATCCGCTACTTGATCTCCTCCAACATTGGTGAGGTTGTCTCCATCTTCCTCACTGCCGCTCTCGGCATGCCGGAGGCCTTGATCCCCGTCCAGCTCCTTTGGGTCAACTTGGTCACCGACGGTCTTCCCGCCACCGCTCTTTCGTTCAACCCCCCTGACCACGACATTATGAAGCGCCAGCCCAGAAAGCGTGACGAGCCTCTCATTGGCGGTTGGTTGTTCTTCCGCTACCTGGTCATCGGTACCTACGTTGGTGTTGCGACTGTTGCTGGCTATGCTTGGTGGTTCATGTACAACCCCGAGGGTCCTCAGATCAGCTTCTACCACCTCTCTCGTTTCCATCGCTGCTCTGCAGACTTCCCCGAGATTGGCTGCCAGATGTTCTCCAATAGCTCCGCCAAGTCCGCCTCGACCGTCTCACTCTCCATTCTGGTTGTCATCGAGATGTTCAATGCCATGAACGCGCTGTCCTCGAGCGAGTCTCTACTGTCGCTGCCTCTTTGGGCTAACATGAAGCTTGTCTATGCTATCACTCTTTCGATGGCTCTTCACTTCGCCCTGCTCTACACTCCATTCCTTCAGAACCTGTTCTCCATCCTTCCTTTGAACTGGTTGGAGTGGAAGGCGGTCTTGTACATCAGCGCCCCCGTTATGTAAGTTCACCACTATTTTTTCTCCCTAATTTACTGTTGCTGACTCTGTGATTTTAGCCTCATCGATGAGGTCCTCAAGGCTGTTGAGAGATCGTTCTTCAGTCAGAAGAAGGCGATCAAGTCTACCAAGGCAAAGAAGGAGAATTAGATGGTTAGAGGCCAGCCCAAAGCTAGACCATAGATCACTTGTACCATAGTAGTAGCCCTGGCAACATTGCACAGAGCTGTACATAGACCACAGCAGCCAACGTCCAGGCATAAAAGTCACAAATAAGGATGTAAATCAAGGTCATTTGTCTAGTTCATGCAGGCTTCGGCAGCCATCTCATAGTGGATCACGTCCATCTATTGGTACAAGCTAGGTAGAACCCGTCCACTTGTAGCGGTTCTATCAAGTTTTCTCTTCCTCAACACCGAATCTCTCCGCGAGAATTAGTCTTGTCTGCCCTTGAGCAGTCTCTTGGTGACCTTGTCCTTCTCAATAATGTACACGTGCGCTCCCCATCCAGATAGTGCATCTCGGTCAACGGCGTTCAAGAGCGACTGGGAGATGGTTTCGAAAAGCTCATCAGGGCCCTGCGTGACGGTCCACGTTAGTTTCTGCTAGCATCCCTCGGATAATTGATTCGTCATGTGCCACGTACCAGATCCGGCTCCCATAAGCTCTCGCACATGCCGAACAGCTGTTCAGACGCCGTACCAGAGACGATGAAGTCCTTGGCGAAGTCGATGCAGCCGATGCTGTCGAAGCCGCAGATAAAGGGCTTGCCCGTCTTGGGGTCAAGGCCGGCGACGACGGGGGAGACGAAGTACGGGCCGAAGCGGCGCTCGTAGAGGGAGGAGCTGACGAGGTTGGCGAAGGTGGTCGGGGCGATGTTGCGCTCCTCGCGGAGGCGGTACATGTTGACCTTGTAGCGGAAGAGGTCACCGACGGTCGTGACGTCGGTGGCGAGGCCGGTGAGGCCGAGGAAGACGTCGCCGTACTGGAAGATTTTGGGGAAGTTGTTGGAGACGGTGAGGGCTTGGAGGCCGAGGCGGAGATCGCAGGCTATTGCGACGCAGTCCTTGCCGACCATTGCGACGCAGGCACCGCCATCTGGGAGGGAAGGCAAGTCAGAAATTGGAGATTCGATAGAGAGACGATAGGACCTAGAGGGGGGTTAAGAGGAAGACGAACTGATGGAGAAGGGAGAGCTCTGGACTGTTGGTTAGCTGGAGGGGGGTTCCTTTTGCATCTCGAGGCTGAGGAGGGGAGGGGGAATGAAGGAAGCGTACCATTTCGGGCTCTTAAAGCGAGTGACCGCTGGGTTTTGGTATGATTTGAGAGATTCTCAAAGTTATGGTTTCGGCCGTGATTACTTCGTGATGGATCGTAGGGTCGGCCGTGGGGGGGTCGTCGTCGTAGATGGGGAGTTCGTTTGGCGGTGGTGGTGATGGTTGTAGCTGCAATTGACGTTGAACCGATGCGGAATGCTGAGGTGTAGCGCTACCTGCCTGCTTCTTGCTGAGTGCTGGGTGCTACTGCAGGGCAAGGCAAACACGCATGGCGCGGCCGAAGCGGTCGGAAAATCCACGTACAGCAGGCTGGAGCTCGCTGATTGGCCTGAGCTTGGCTTCAGCAGCTTTCGGCGTGGTGGTGCTCGATGATGCACGTCCCACCTCCCCTCCCCGGCCAGGGCTCGGCTCCCGTCGCCTCTGCTGACGGAGCACCCTGACTGCCTGCTTCCCAGCCTTACGTACCTCCCTGAATTACCTGTACCTGTAAGACTCACTCACCTTGACCATTCAACTAAGAAACGATTGTTTGCTGTCTGTAGCTTTTCGTTTCTATTGTTACCTATACAATAGGTGTTACTTAAGGCCGATTAGAGACATTCAGTAGACCTATACGTATTCACTTGTCCCGGACATCAGGCCGAGCTGGACTTTCTGACATTGTGTTTCGTCGTCCTTCCGCCAACTTCTACCTAACTAATACACCACCACCTGAGCTTGACGCAACGCCCTCCCCCCACCACGACTCGAACCCCGCCAACAACATATTGAACACGATACCCCGGATCAGAGATCAATCTTTACCGAACAGCAACTTCACTACGACTGAACACGTTTGTTTGTTGAAAAGAATAAGACATTGCGTTTCCGTCCACGGTATTTCTCAGTTGCTACGATGTCGCACGTAGTGGTCATCGGCACGGATTTGCGGAGAGCTACCGTCAAGGTCAGCCCAGGCACCTACATGACAGATGTTCTCCAAGAGGCATGCAAGAAGCTCAACGTCTCGAGCGACAAATACCTCTTGAAGTACCTTACTCGTCCTTAGAAGACCTTCTTCTGTCTCAGTTAGCTAATAATTCGGTAGGCACAAGCAGAAGGCAGTCGACCTCTCCGTGGTCTGGCGAGTGAGCGGCCTCACCCCCGGCGCCAAACTTGAGCTCGTCCAGAAGTCGAAAACACCATCAGCCGTCTCCGTCGCACTCCAGTTGCCGATGCCCGAAGCCAACTCGGCGCCCAACGGTCGTTTAATCGAGAAGCTACCTAGCGACTATACGTTATGGAAGGTACTGCGTCAGTTTGAGAGCGGCGTCGCCGGAAATGGGAAAAACTTCAACATCACAGCGCGGGGCGTCGCGCAAACAACAAGCGGAGGCGCGAGTGGAAGCGGTCAGATGTACTACGAGACGCCAGTCCTGAACATCATGGGTCGGGAACTTTCCACGTTCGAGGACTTCCAGAAGACACTGTCACAACTTGGATACAACTCGGGTAGCGTTCTGATACGCTTGTCGTTCAGAAAGACGGACCGCACGCTGTTCCAGGCTATGGAGGAAATCAGTCAATTCTTTTCTGAGGTTGAGGCAGAGGAGAAGAAAGCGGCCCCGGCTCCAGCTCCGGCGCCCACGACAGAGGGAACAGAATCTATGGCAGCTGAAATTGCCGTCGAGACACCAAAGGATACGACAGCTGGACAGACTGGCGACATTCCGACTCAAGAACAAGCAAATCATGAGGCGCCGGCAGTAGATACCATGGAGGTTGATCAAGCAGAGCCAACAGACCCTTTGCAGCCTGTCAGCGTCTTCCGGGCACCAAGCGGAACCACTCCCGCAGCAGCTCTTGCAGACGTCCCAGAGGATGACTACGCCCCGACCATTGCTCACGCTCAGCTTCATCAGGCTCGACTCCAGCAGAGCGCACTCAACAAGAGACTTCCTTCCGACAAGGAGCTGGAGGCGCAAAGACAGGCAGAGGAAGCCCGCCTGGCAGCTGTTACCACAGTTCCGATGAAGGTGCGGTTTCCGGACAACACTTCAGCGCAGTGGACATTTGGCCATGAAGCCACTGGAGCGACCCTCTACCAGGGCGTAAGATCTGTCATGGCACACAACACACAACCCTTCAAGCTCGTCATACCCGGCAGCAAGGTCATAATCAAGGATGATGAGAGTGCAAAGAACCGCTTGATCCACGACTATAAGCTCACGCGTAGTGTGTTACTGAGTTTGGTCTGGGACGACAGTGTGCCAGTAGATATTCGCAAGAAACCCTTCCTCAAGGGTAGTGTCGCTCAAAAGGCTCAGGATGTCACAGTACCGGACATTCCCAAAGGCGACGACACGAATGAGGAGCAGGCTATTGCTTCGTCTTCGAAACCTGAGAAGAGGGAGGGAAGTGGGGATGGTAGTGTTGCAAAGAAACTCCCCAAGTGGCTCAAGCTGCCCGGAAAGAAATAGATGCCTGGTCTCTCGTACAATGTTGCAGCATTGCTCGGCCACTTCCACATGGCGAGTGTATTCATGGATTTTGGAGTTTCATGGGACATGGGGTAAACCAGATAGACTATGGTCAAGTCGTCAATCAGAGCATTCACAAAGTCGTACGATCTCTTCACTGCGAAAAAACATGTGCGAGGCCAAAGTGAAGTTTCTGAGGCAGCAATGGGTTATGCTTGAAATTTTGGTATTTGTCGTAAAGGCATCATCGTTCCATGATGATACGAGGGAGTTCCGTTGATTTGTTTTTAGAAATAGACCACAAACTTTTATGCTGTGACCACGCCCTTGACCCATATAAACCCAGTAGTTTGCCAGTCCAACACAACAACCCCGTTGCGCCCCATTTTTGGTTTTTGACGAATTCTCTCCAAGGGGGAAATCGTTTAGTGACCGACACGGCGGGACTCGGCGATGACGCGGGTCATCTCCTCGACCTTTCTCTTGGCGCGGCCGAAGGTGCCGAGCCTCTTCTTGGCGAGCTTACGGGCACGCTTGTCCTTGGAGTTGCGAAGCAACTCAATAACGCGGCGCTCGTAGGGGGCAAGGCTATTGAGGGAAGATGATTAGCGACTTGTTGCCTGGTTTGGACGTAGATGTAAAGTGCGTCCAGGGTGATGTCACGTGGACGAGACATCGAGATGTTGTGAATTGAAACTTACCCGGAGACTTCCTTGACGACGTCACGAACGAAAGCGGTGCGCTTGCTCAGGTGGCCCTTGGTGCGGGAGACACGGGGCTTGACGACACGAGCGGTGGTCTTCTATATTTCCGAAACAATCACGACCGGTCAGCGTCCATCTTCTGCAAATGAGGTCCCCTCGTGGGAAGAGAGGTGTTGTGCAGAGATCCTCCACGAGGTGAGACGAAGCGGGTGTGGGGGAAAGGGGGGACAGTGCCGCCGATTTCCCTTCCTGAGAGAAAAGCCCATCCTTCTGTGTGTTTCATTCTTCAATGCGCGTATCCATCATCGAATCGTATTTCCAGAATCGGAAGTTTGAGGATTTCGTTTCGCAGAATTTCGGAGGGCTTTTCTCTCAGGTCGGGACGGCGGCGGTGATGATTGCGGTGGTGATAATGGTTCGACATACGTGTCCATGGTTGAGACCGGTGATGAGACCGGTCTTGACGGGCGCTTCCTTGGCCATCTTGAATGCTGGATGACGGGTGGGTTGTCGGGTTAGTATTGTCGTGGTGGTCGGAGGGGGGAAAAAGCCAAAAAGACGTTCGACCACGAAAAAAAAAGTTGCAATGGTGGATTGGGAATTTTCGGCGGTTGGGTTTGTGCGGTCACGTGGCTTGGGGTTTGTCAAAGGCTGCAGGTCGTTGTTGGGTTTTATGGGGCTCCTGCAGGCCTGGGCAAGTGGAGTTTTTGAGAGGGGTTGGCTGAATTATCCCCGATAGGCTCTGATTGGCTTTTCAATTCTAGAGAACGAAATGCCCAAAGATGTTTTTTGTTCTCTCCCATTGCAACGCCTTGATGAGGCACAATTCTATCAGTACAGATTAGGACGGACCCCTTACGTGAATATATGTAGGGCAGTATTGGAGGGAAGTGGCAGTTGTAAGTTGGGCGTGACAACTTCTTACGCAGATACCGCCGGTGGTGGTGCTCATCCTGAGAATACAAGCAGTGCAATGGTTTGGTAGTTGATCCTCTTTGCTTCACTTCCACTTCACCGACTTTCCCACACGACCAACTCGCCGTGTATCCGTACGGTTTTAGAACCGAAGGAAGGGTCCAAGCTGTGTCTAGGTAACTTGACTCACCCATTGCATGCATCTCGTATCTGTACCTGAGCTCACCCAACACGAGCCAGAGAGTATATATGCAAGCCAGGCCTAGAAATGTTGTTTTGCCCTCAACGGCCCGGCCAAGCCAACCAGCAAGAGTTCTCACTCTGACAGCAGAGCCGCGCATCGGGATCGTCCGTCCAAGCTTTCCCTTTTACACTACTTCGTCACTTGTTATCCCCTTACAGAATGGGTCTATTGTCCAAGTCCCTCAAATTCCAGGTCCCTCATGCGCTAAAGCCACAGCCGTACCTTACTCGAGACTCTGCAGCCCCAGCCCCCTGAGCACAGCCTCTCGTACCGTCGTACGTCCCTTGATAGGATAGTGCCGTCCACCCATCTCAGGCTCAACAGCATTCAGAGAATCAAGGCAACAAGGGCAGTGGGGTAGATCTACGTTGACCCAACTTAGCCGTTCTTTGGCCATCGGCGTCCGCTTCCAAGAAAGGGGGGGATCTTAGATGTGATCAACAGCCCAGGCGTGGACCAGCGCAGGATGCCATGCTGGGAAACATGAAACACGCAGGAGCCAATCAGATCCAATAGTTCCCCTGAATAAGGACCAAAAATGCCAGCCGACGAGCATCAACCTTCCACGCAGCACCGCTACTACTGCTACCATTCGTATATGCTGCATTAAGGCCACTCGTAAGTTCTCTACTAGAGCACCCTGGAAGTCCATCTTTAATGGCGGGCTGGGAATGTCATTCTCCCCTAATATGGAGCTAAGAGGCCAACCGCCTGCACCTCAGCCATCCCGTTAACGCTGGCGGCTCGGACAATTACATCAGGATCTGCGTATCGCTCTCGCCCTTTATGAGAGTTTAGCCATGTCATCGTAGCCACCACCCCTGAGCAGCGGTTTCCTGCAAGGAACGGCATAGGAGATCTGCTAGGTCTTTGATCCTGTGCTTAAATCGGGCCTTATAATAGATGCACATCTGGGAAGCAGCTGCCGGCAAAACTAATAGATGAGCATAGTCCCTGACTTCTAATCATCCCATCTTTCCGGTCTTTCCATTTCCTCCTCAACTATTCGAGCATTTATCTCTTTCTTTGACCTTTGCACTCTCCGTTCAAGAGTGCATACCTATTATCCTTGGTCATACCACCCTCGTAAATCAAAACTCACACACAGGCCATGAAGCTGTCACTCCTCCTCATTGCCGCCCCCGCGGCACAGGCCGCGGTCTCATACATGTCAGCCGTTCCTGACAAGCTCATGGCCATGGTCGAGGCATCAGGAGACTGCAACCTACCCGACGACTTCCAGATCCAAAACTTTACCGCCGAGTCAGCGGATGGCAAGACGGCGGACTCGCTCGACTTTACCTTCAACGACGACAGCACCGTTCTCAACACGCAGTGCCACCTCAACGCCTCGTCGGTACCGGTGTCCGGTGACGGGCGGACACCGAGGTACACTTGCGACAACGCTAGTGTGCAATTCATTTGGCAGAATGGCACAATCACAGTCATTGAGAAGGTTTGCCCTGGTGACGACGGGTAGGTCAACTGATTTTCTTTCACACGTAGAACTGTATGGAAAACCCTCATGCTCAACAAGCTGACATATCTCGCTCAGTGCCGCCGATTACGAGGCTTCCGGGACGGCCGCGGTTCCGTTGGTGTGCGACGGAGGCGCCGCGAACGGGACGGGCAACGCCGCTAGGTCACACAGGCGTGCAAGGAGGGCAGCCGTTGCATGCAAGTCCAACTCGGACGACATCCGATCGAGATTCTTCAGCATCCAGCCGGTTGGTTGAGGGCGAGGGGAGAGTAATCATGGGATGAACGTAAAATAGCAAACAAAAAGAGTCACAATGACAGTGCTCATGGATGATGAAACAGACATGTGTGAGCGCACGCTGAGAGGTTCTTGGGTTACAGTTACAGATGGTAGGCCCGAAACAGAACTTTTCCTAATAAAAGGAAAAGCAAAATGAAAGTTATTCGTAATGAAGACGACAAACTCCGAATAGAATAAGCAATAGACCTTGGCTTCTGTCCACTTTGCGCATGAGATGATGGAAATGGAAGTCATCCACACTTGTCCTCAACATTCAGGTCCCAAATGGTCAGCAGGACTTCATGAGGGTGAGAAGACCCGCTCCCTTGACAGCTTTTCGCGGGGGGTGACAGCCCAATCCCAGGTCCTTCCCCGGCAGCCACAGGGGAAGAGGGCCACCCAGGACCAACCGTTTGTCGGCAAGCGTCGCTTGGCCGCGCCTCTCCGCATTTTGCATGGAAGGCACGCCGTGCTTAGCACCTTCTTCACTGCCGCTTCCTTCAATTCGCCCCAGGTTTCTGCATGACGGAATGACCTCACCGCAGTCACCCTCACGAGATCAGCCCTGAGACGTCGGTATCCCGTCCAATTCTCTCCTCTCTCCATCCACCCTTATACCCTAGGTAATACGATTACATCGTTGAACACACGCACCATTCACCTCCATCTCAACAAAATACCTAATTTAGTAGGAACCTGCACGGGTGCAATCGTCATCATGCGCCTTTGAAGGGTCACGCTTTGAGGCTTTCCCCGCCGTTAAACGTGGTACATTGTCGCAATTGTCACGATCATAAATCGAACCCTCAACAGCCAATTCCTACGGGCGTCGCTGTCTCTCTTCAAGCTGACCCACCTACATTGCTCAACCTGGGCGGTCACCTTACATTGAGCAAGCTGAACAATCTTCTGCGCAATGTCTATCGGCCTGCGCAATCGATCATAGCCTGAAATTCCAACAAGATCACCAACCCGATCAGAACAGAATGCTCCCTCCAACGCGATACCTCCTCTGCTTCCTCCAGCTTGCGCCACTGGTTGGCCTAGCTTCAGCGACACCATTCGACACTGCGCAGCCGCAGCCGCAGCAGCAGCAGCAACCACTGCTATCGAGCAACGACACCAAGCATGCTGCACCCCCACTGCCGGTCTCCATCGAGCTCTTCCGATCCCTCGAGCGTACGTCGCGCATCGTCGACATCACCTACTGCGTCGGCACTACGGGTATATCGCAGCCCTTCTCGTGCGTCTCACGCTGCAAGGAGTTCCCCTCCTTCACACTCGTCTCGACCTGGAACACGGGCGTCTTGCTGAGCGACAGCTGCGGCTACATCGCCGTCGACCACGGCGTTCGTAGGCCCGGCGATGAGGACAGGTTCAATGGCAGGGTCGGGGAGAAGGCTATCATCATTGCCTTCCGGGGCACCTATAGTATTTCCAACACGATTGTCGACCTGAGTACCATCCCGCAGGAATATGTGCCATACCCGTCTCCCGATGACGGGGGCGAGTCACCCAAGGAGCCTAAACGCAAGTGCAAAGACTGCACCGTCCATATGGGTTTCCTGACATCGTGGCGACAGGCGCGGAGGCTTGTCATTCCAGAGGTGAAGAAGTTGAGGAAGCAATACCCGGACTATCCCATCCACCTGGTCGGTCACAGTCTCGGCGGCGCCGTTGCCATGCTCGCGTCTCTCGAGCTCAAGATTTCCTTTGGCTGGGACAATGTTAAAGTCACAACCTTTGGCGAGCCAAAGGTCGGCAACCAGGGCCTTGTAAACTATGTCGACGAGGCCTTTGGATTAAGGGATGAGAAAGACGAGGATGTTGCAAAGCGGACCTACCGTCGCGTGACCCACGCCGACGACCCGGTGCCGCTGCTCCCGCTTACAGAATGGGGATACAAGCCTCACGCCGGAGAGTTCTATATCGCCAAGGCTGAGCTGTCCCCGTCTCTTGAAGACGTAGTGGCCTGTCGCGGTGACAGTGACGCAAGCTGCATCACGAAGGCGGACGATAGCTTCTTCGGATCCAGGCTGAAGGAGTTTGTCGAAGTTGCTGCGAAGTCGACGTTGGCACCGCCCGAGGGAGTTATTGCAGAGACCAGCAGGTGGATCAAGAGGCTGCCGGGCTTTCCGGCTCGGCTGAAGCTTTGGCAGCTACTCTTTGCGCACCGGGACTATTTTTGGAGACTCGGGCTGTGTATGCCCGGTGGCGATCCGGCAAATTGGGGGAGGGACAAGTACGGAGGTGGCCATGACAGTCTCCTATCGGAAGAACTGTGAGACCGGATCAACCTGCGGGTCATCGTATAATAAGTGTATTCAAATGTGATAGTAAGGGTACGAGTACTGGTTTGGCTAAAGAGGTTTCTGAAAAGGCTGCGGTAGGTTGCTGGTATAGCGCTTATATGGAAATGGCAGGCGTTTCCTTTTGGCTTACGTTTCTGAGTAACCTGGATATAACTTCAGACTGAGCGGGATGGTAAACTCAAAAATATCATGAATATGAAATAGTACGTTTAGCAACTCTCGACTGATATGTTTTGAGTTCGTGACAAACCAGTAAAGCCTGAGTCGTTTGCCGACTACCTTCACCTACCTTACGAATCAGCATCTGCCACGGAGCCATCCATGATAGTTTGCGGGAGAAAAGTCATTACTCGGTTTACGTTCCATTGGGTGGATGATGTTCATTTGCCGTTTGTCACGCCATAGTCAAGTGCACAGAGACAACAGACATTGTTTGGTTCTCTATTTACCATTGCTAGTAACCAATCTCTCTTACACGTCGAAAGAGACTTGTTCCGTTGCGAAGGAAACGCCCGAGCTGTTGATGATATTCGGATATTTTGAAATGGAACATTTTCAATCTGAGCTACGGTCGGTCACGTAAAAAAAAAAAGCCGTTGGTTTGAAGCTATACAGAAGATTATGCGGACGCCGGGAACAGCCCGGGTTAGGTAGGTAAAGACCACCTTGTTGGATCCTGGGTTTTGGCTTGAGCCTTGTTGGCTTGAAGTGCTTACTTACACCTCACGGCTATCGGCTCCCCCCCTCTGAGTACCAACTACTGCAGTTCCCACACTTCCCAGTGTTCGTTGCTTATAGTTGTGGGTTCCCGGGTTTTCCACGACCAGGTTGGCTTGCCCTTCGCATGAATTTCGTCCGCACCTCCGGGTTCGGGCATTCATGTCATTGTCATTGTGAATTTGGCGGGGGTCGAGCCAAAAATAAAAATAAAAAATAAAAATAAAAAGGAGAAAAAGAGAAAAAGAGAGAGAATGGAAGGGATACCAGGGCGAGAGGTGAGGGGTAAAAGGGAAAGCAGCTACTCCGTACACCAGCGAGGAGGGAGCATGGCTCGCAAAGGGGGCCGTGGCATAACTTGACGCCGACGGGTAAAGAAGCATGGCCGTGGTCGAAATCGCGTCCGGATACTGGGGATCGCGGAATATTTCTCGAGGAGAGAACCTGAGCTGCAGCCTGCAGGTGCAGCCACGCCCACCGACGGCACCCGCCCAGAGGGTGCCACGCGATAAGGCGGCGACCAAGGGCCTGTCGCATGCGAGTCGCCTGTTCGACCCGACTGCATGGAGGATCCTCCCATGGGCTGTGCTGGATGTGAGTCACCCGAAAGCTACCTATGATGGCATCGAGTTGGTGTGGTGGCAGTGGTTGGCTTCAAAGTTGGGACGAGAAGGGCGGCCAAGAGATTGGGGGGGCCAAATTTCAGAGTGTGATACTTATCTGGGTTTGGCCAAAGAGACACCGGTCCGTCTCGTACACGAAGTTGGGTTGACGTGAGTTTGCTGTATCCGTACATTATGATGACAGTATTAGTCGCCGTGGTTGACGTTTCACTCGCAGGGCCTCTGGGCCTACAAGGAGACAAGCCGGGGATGACGGATGGCACGCTGATCCAACGGGGGATCATCCCTTGGGTTGGAAGTTGAAACCGGTTTCTTTGGGGTTTAAGTTAGAAAGATACGACAGCAGATTGATGAACGATCGGACATTTTGCAGATTGGGCGTAAGCGGGTGGGCAAGGTGGTTTCGTGCATGACACAACACAGCGCTCTCGACAAGCATGCGCGCGAGCGCAACAACAACGCAGGGAGAGCCACAGACGGAGCATCTCGTAGTCACTGGCACGAATAGCTGAAGACCAACATGAGAAGATACCATCGTGTTCAGGCGGCAATGCAAACCAGAGGGGATCGTGGCTTAGTCGACCGGGTGGCTGCTGCTCTCGGCAAAGAGGCGCCGGGCTCTGCAAAGCAACGCAGACTGTTGAACGAGACGGTGGAGCGCGACCGTGACTGACAACGATTGGCCCGAGAGCAAGACATAAAATGCAGAAGCTGGCGTCGACGGCTACAAGGTCGTTGTAGGATTCCGGCTCGCCATTTCAATTTCCAATTTCCAATATCCAGGGCATAATCTGAATCCAGTGGGTTGGTGCCCAGGGTCTTCTGACGCTCGCAATAACGCTTATTATCTCTTCATCTTGTGTAGTAGATGATTTCCCTTGTCTCCAACCACGAGAGATCCAGTCTAACTTGGCAACTGGGTGACAGAATTCGGAAAGAGAGAAATTCGGTAAGATAGAAGATGTCGTTGAGGACGGCTCACGAGCCAGGTATGGATTATGTGAGTTTGAGACAACATGGGATGGCATTTGATGCCCGTCTTTGAGCATTTCGGCGAGATGAGGTAAGCCATCAGGAGTGAACTGTAGTAGCTTCGAGACACGGCCCAATCCAGATGGGGTTCTGGAACAGCGAGTGTCTATCCGTAGCTAGCCACGAGGCATCGTTTGCTTAGATCTGTTAGACTCAATGGCATTGGGCGCCTGTGTCCTGTCGAATTGTGTTGCTGCACTAGAAGTTGCGCCATTCTCGTGCTAGGTATTCGTATGGGAAGAGCAAGCGGCAACAAGTTGAAGTGAGGTGGACGCGGCGAAGATGAGAGGTGAACTGAGGGGAGTGTGTTGTCCGTTGATGGAGAGACTGCAGGGTGTGTGTGGTGAGGCAAGGGCCAGCGGACACTATCACGCGTGGATGCGCTTGGAACGGGAGAGAATCATGGTATCACCAGAAGGAAAGAATCACGAGACTGCGAGAAAAAAGCAGTTGTGGTCAGGGAAGAAGATACGTACATGGTGGGCGTGTCGCAAGAGCAGGAGCGGGGAAATGCATGGAGAGGGTGGGGCTAGCCCCAAAAACCAAGTCAGCCAGTCAGCAGCCAGCATTTAGGATGTCCCTATGCTTGCGTTATGCTGTGCTGTGCTGAGCTGGCCGTCTGTCCACCACACGCGCAGCATTTCGAGGCTGGAGCTCGCATTCAACAAGCCAAAAAGCAAATGACCTTCACCGGAGTTATCTGAGTGACCTGAACCCTCCCCGAGTTCCCCCCTTCTGGCGAACTCATTTGCGAAGTCGTTTCTTCTTCATCTGGTCCAGCCTTTTCTCTGCAATTTCCTGACCTGGAGAGGTCATTGTGTTGCTAATTTCCATCAAGATTCTCATTCCTACCCGAGCGGCCTCAGGATAGCTCTGAAGCTCAAATGGGGAATTGATACATCCCATCGGTAATTTGGCAAGTCGACAACAATCCGCAGAAGACGGGTTCAGACTCTCTGGATACTACTTCCAACTTTGAAGCAAGTAACACCCCAAGCATAGAAAGGGACTTGAGGTTATCAGAAAGCAGTTGTTCGCTCGAGTTGCTGTTCAAGTATCGAGGTACGAGCTCTAGGAGTACCTCTGCGGTACATACACGGCCCAGGCCAACCGGATGGGCGTCAGTTGTGGACCAGGGAGATACATCTTGGGCCTGGTTCTTTGGAAGCGGAATCATGTCTTTGATGTGCTCGGCGGGCAGGCTAATCTCAGGGCCGCTCTCCACCAGAATCGCGGACCTCACCACATGCAAATGGAATTTAGGTTGACTTTCCTGCTCTCTCGTTCACTCGCAACACGTATGGGAAGCCGTTTGGGGGCCCGGTACTTTGAGTGTACAGTACGAATTGCAACCAACGCAAAGATAGGGTGATGATAACTAGGGGAATAATGGCAGAAAACCGCTTTCACTGCCTTGCCACATGGGCATAGCCCATTCACCAGTACTTGGTACCTTGGGCCAGATGGTGTTCTATCAACTGTCCGAGGCACGCAAGGCGAAGTGTCTTGGGGCCCAAAGTATTGATGATGGAGAGCCTAGCCCAGCCCAGCGCCCCCATTTCTCTTCCCTTCCCGCCAAATGGGAACCCGCCCATGTCCTGGGGGCCCATTTGCCAGAGTCCCCGAGCCCCGAGAGCCTGACCACGTCCATAGTAATATCCAATTCACTCGATCCGTCCATTCCAATCCAATTCCAGGGTTCTTCTCTCCCAGCACAGGCCAACGCAGAAGGGGCAAGCCGCAGGCAAGCGAGGGGAGGGGAGAAAATGGAACATAGTGGGGTCGAAACGGCAGGTGCAGCCAGCAGGCACAGGGCAGGCAAGCTCAGTCGACTAATTACAGCACAGAGAAGGGCACTGCAATGGAGGTGCCTACACCGTATCGAGAGAGCAAGGTGGATGAAGATTAGAACCACACACCTTATTCTTGGATAAGAATTGCATCTTCTGGTGCTATGGAACCCAAAGACTTATGTACCTTGTCTTGCCGAAAGAAAGTAACGTGAGCCCAAGTGCAAGCAGCAGAAATCTGAGCAGTAGGAAAGAGGTGACTCCAACGTGCGCAGGTGGGAAAATCGGCAGGTGGAGGGGGTGAATGGGCGGCACCTCCCTAAGGCTACCTTAGCTAAGGTAAGGTAGTTGGGTACCTTTGGTGAAAGACTGGGAGGGAAAGAACGACCTTGGGACTTGGGACTTGGACCAACCCAATTAAATCTTCACTGGACTGGCCTCGCAACTTCCCTTTGAGATTCCCCCCTCTCCCAAAATAATTCGTCACACGTAAACACTCCCTCCGCCTTCCCTCCTTCTCCCACCGCACACCTTTTTCCACTCTCCAACAACAAAACAAAGCCGCGTCAACTTTCTCACCACTCCGTTGCACGCCTTTCGCAGTATCCATTCCCGCCTTCTCTAATCTTCTACCAAACCACCTCAACCTATCCTCTTCACCTCAATCCACGAGTTCAACATGTCTGGTGATGTAAGTACCTTTTCCCCCACGCTGCCCAACACAACCTCACCCCAAAACCCCTCCGGAGCCCCTCGATTGCCCTGCCTGCCTGGGTCACGGCAACGACGATGCTCATGATGCGATCCTCGATCCACCGCTTTGAATCCTACGATGGATGCTATTTTTGCCTCAACCGCCTTCTCCAACCCCGGCGGCCTTCTTTCTCCCCTTTCAAATCACTCATGCCTCCTATCGCCCGCCTCGGGAACGAAGTATGCTGACTTGTGCCCCTCTTCTAGCGTGAAAGGTTTGTGCCGAGCCCTCCTCCTCGTCGATGGACTACGTCTCATCAACCACAACCATCTGGCCTCGAGGTCTTTCGCGACCTTTTTTTTCTCTGACTGACTCTTTCCTTACAGCAAGACCTTCCTCGCTCGCCTTTGCGAGCAGGCCGAGCGCTACGATGAGATGGTTGGCTACATGAAGGAGGTCGCCAAGCTGGGCGGTGAGCTGAGCGTCGATGAGCGCAACCTCCTTAGCGTTGCCTACAAGAACGTCGTCGGTACCCGCCGTGCCTCCTGGCGCATCATCTCCTCCATTGAGCAGAAGGAGGAGAGCAAGGGCACCGACAAGCACGTCGGCACCATCCGCGAGTACCGCACCAAGATCGAGCTCGAGCTCGAGCAGGTCTGCCAGGATGTCCTCGACGTCCTCGACGACAGCCTTATCCCCAACGCCCAGACCGGCGAGTCCAAGGTCTTCTACCACAAAATGTACGTTATCCGACGCCGCCGCCGCCGCTGCCGGCAGCCTTTATCAAAGGTCCAATTTCCGAAACTAACCGTGGAATTCCGTGATACAGGAAGGGTGACTACCACCGCTACCTCGCTGAGTTCGCCTCCGGCGAGAAGCGCAAGGGTGCCGCCACTGCTGCCCACGATGCCTACAAGGTGAGAATGATCTGGGTTGATTGCTGCCACCTCAGAGAACATGGAATCTGACAATGCCACCCTTTCCTGTAGAGCGCTACCGATGTCGCTCAGACCGAGCTGACCCCCACTCACCCCATCCGCCTTGGCCTGGCCCTCAACTTCTCCGTCTTCTACTACGAGATCCTGAACTCGCCCGACCGTGCTTGCCACCTCGCCAAGCAGGCCTTCGACGATGCTATCGCCGAGCTCGACTCTCTCTCCGAGGAGTCTTACCGCGACAGCACCCTCATCATGCAGCTCCTGCGTGACAACCTCACTCTCTGGACCTCTTCCGACAGCGGCGATGCTGAGGGTGCTGCTGCCGGCACCACCGAGGCTGCTGAGGAGAAGAAGGAGGAGCCCAAGGCCGAGGAGCCCAAGGCCACCGAGGAGACCCCCGCTGCCTCCTAAATTCTTGTCTTACCCTGATACCACTCCATCTCGGCTCGCGACGAGGCTGAGATGGCTCGTCTGCTCGACCGTCGGTATGCGCTAAATGCGGACCTTCTGACGGCCCCAGTCTAGCCGCCAAATCGGTGGCTAATATCGGTGACTCGCTCCGAGTCTCGCAGCAAAAGGGGAGGGGTTTTTGAGGATTGGACGCGGAGAGAGGAACAATGCGTGGCATGATTTCTATTGGTGTCTTGGATGTCCAACCAGGGTCTAGAACAGCTTCGTCTCTGTTCAGGGATTCTACTTGGCAACTAACTGCTGATTCCCCCCTCTGTATCCGCCTACGCTCAGAATCTCTTCTTTTGTTCTCCTCGATTCCTGCTTTTACCTCTGTGCTGGATGGTTTTACGGCTGTCTCGTGTTCTCTTTTCGGTTTTCCTCATAGTGGTTCTTCAGTTGTCGCGCGTCTTCTCACGGAGAGAAAGTCCTTTTGCCCCCCCCTCAAATGCCCCCTGTCTATTCAGTCTACAAGACCAAAAAGAAAATAACAAATGTTCATCAATAACTGCGTCTAACGCCATGCTATGATTTGATAACGAAGTCTTGGAGTCTTGGGGTGAGAGGCAATCAACGGAGGCCTGTGAGCATGTGACAGACACACCTGCAGATCCCATGGCTGGTAGCAGGACGGCTAATCATGGGCTATCCACGATATGACGAGGCTGCCAAATACCGACAAGCAGACGACCAGGTTCAACAAGGCGACTGAGAAAGCGGGCAAGTCTAGTATAGAATAATGAACAAATTGGTATTCCCTGGTAATATGTCCTGAACATGCCAGAATACAACTCTGTGTAATGTGGATGGCACATTGCAAAAAACGCCTACCGGCCCAGCCAGCCATCCCCCAGAACTCCTCCGTATTTGCAAGAAACCAAAAACCAAGAAAAAAAATCTGATGTGCGCCTCATGGTGTCTGCAACACCCATGCATTTCACCCACTCGTCTTCCCCAATTCACCTGCTCTTCCCCTACTCCATTGTGTACATGTACGCTTCTAGCGGGCCGCGTTCGTCCTCGCGAGCAGCTTCTCGGCCCTCCTGAGTCTCGCTTGCTTCTCGGCGATGAGCTTCGGCACGTGGCCCCGGCCCTCCGAGTCCGCCTCGTCAACGGCGCAGTCAGCGTCTTCGGCCTCTGCTTCATCTCCTGCCGCCATCGCTGCCGCTGCTTCGGCGGCTAGTGCTGTATTCGTGGCTGTAGGCCAGCCGGCCAGAGTTGCGCGTCGGTACATCTTGGTTGCGTCCTCGGCGCCGCGGGGTGGCATCGGCCCGCTTGTCCTGCTCCCGCTGAGCTTGCGGACAAAGTTACGCATGCCACGGAAGAGTGCGTTGTTGGCCGTCTTTGCGCGGAAGATGCCCGGAGCGATGTGGTTACCGGGGAGGACCCCACCGGGTTGCGTCTGATCTAGGTAGGCGGACGAGGGCTCCAGACCCATGGCGGACGGGGCGCCGAGGCGGGAGCATGTTGGGCAGTATGTTCCTTGCCCCGGCAAGATGTCGCTACGGGGGAAAGTGAAGGCGTCGCCTGCGCCCGGAGAGGATGCAGATGAGGACGCCGAGGAAGACGCCGCGGAGAGTGAGATGTTTGTTGAGGAGGCGGAGGCCGCTGGGGAAGAGGGCGGACATGTGCATAGGGATGCTGAGGCCGCTACCTCTTCACGCCAGACTTGGATGCGCTGTTGCTTTGAGAGAGAAGGGTTGGACATTTTGGACGCTTTTTTTTTTCCTCCTTGAATGTTTGTCCGGGTCTATGATATGTTGATATTTGCTCAAGTTGAAGAGTGTGCTTCGATTTATGAGTATGCAGCGGGTGTTGATGACCGTTTCCTCCTATGAAGTATTGTGTAACCAAGCATTCATCCAGTGGCCGTTCGCGGTTTGTTCGTCGTAGCGGGGTTCTAGGGTTTCGGTTGCTAATCTTGGAATGAGGATGATGCTCCAAGCCAAGACCGAAAGCAGAAGTATGTCGTTGGGGGAGAGTCTTCGAGAAGGTCTGCGCTCTACGTGACAGAAGCCCAAAACATACAGACGAGAGAGTAAATTAGGTGTTGGACGTTGAGAACAGGTATTGACAACGTCCGTCCGTTTTGATGATATCGTCCAGAGGTAAAACAGACAGGAAAAAGTGTAAGATGGGAGGAGAAAGGAGGAGGTAAACGGAAAAGGAGGATATTAGAGTGAAAAAGTCGGTGGCCGTCTAATATTGCGTAGGTAACACGAGACCTGTTCGGGTGTTATGCAAGGCTGTCTCTGCTCGGTAGATGGCCTCTAACGTCCCGTTCATGTGGTCTTCCGTCGTACGTGTAAGGAACACTCCAAGTGTGATTAAGTCGGCGCCAACCCCGGATTCGAAGATAAGATGGGCGGTGTATGCGTGTGTGCATGTGCGTGTGTGCGGGCGTTGGTGTCTGTTTTGTGAGGCAAGTAGGTGTGGCCGGTGACCAGATGACTTGAATCAGGTCGGGAATTGTCGAGATAGGTACGAAGATGGTAGGTAGAGATGTTGAGGGGAACTCGAGTATTTTCCTCTCTCACTTCTCTGACTTGTTCAGTACAGCGGCAAACGAGTGCAAGAGTGCAAGACGAAGGATGGACGAGTCAAGCCTCTTCTTGTCATCCGGTCTTCTCTTTTGGGCGGTACGCAGGTCTTAGTGGGAGAGTGAACGCCTCCGGGCGTATGAAACAAAAACAAAAGAGTATTTAAATTGAAAGGTGGTAGGTTGAGCGGAGGTTCATGTCAGGTTAGGGATGAGAATAAGAAATGAAATCCCAGCAGCAGCGGCGGCGATGGAAGCACGTTCGGAAGAAGAAAAGACATCAACTGGAACAGCTAGGAGTTGTGGTCGGCGGCGGTGGGCTTGTGATTACGTTTAGGTAAGGGTGTTTTGGTAATAGAGCCAAGTTGGTATCAAGCTGAGGAGCGTAGGTTTGCGTGATGGGAGAGCTCGGAAAGCAGGATCCGTGTGGTCGAGGCCATGCGTCTTAGTAGGGGATGTACTCTGCTGCAAAGCGTCTTATGAAAAGGAAACAAAACAAACCACCCCTTGAAGAGGAGCTGCGGCAGCCAGCAACTAGGAGACGAACGACAAACGGGTAGGCGATGAAGCGGGTGGGGTTCGTTCGTTCGAGGTCGTTCGTCGCGACAAGCGTCCGTCCGTTCGTTTGGCGTTCGGCCCTTACAAACTAAGAAAGGTCTGGTGGAAGAAGAGAGAGGGGCAGGCAAGGTAAGTTCCGGCAGGTGACTTTGGTATTCGAAGCACATACGGACAGGCGAAGCGGCAGCAGCCCAGCAGGTAGGGGTAAGGTAGCACCGATACAGGCTGCAGGACAGTTGAGAAAAGCTTGGATGTGTGTCTGGGAAGAAGGGGTGTGCAGACTGCAACGTGCTGTGCCAATGGATGGGAGGATGGGGGTGGGAAGCGACTTTAGGTTGTGAAGAAAGAAAGGAAGAAAGAAACGAACGAACGAACGAACGAAGAGAAAAGAGGGTTAGGAAGATGGGACGGGATGGAGACGAGCCGGAAGATGAAGCAGACCGGCTCGTACGCCCCTTAGGAAACGAAAGAGAAAAACAAGACTTGCGCGGTTAGATGTCCCCTAGTGGAACAAAAGGCAAAGGCAGTGTCGAGCGTTTCGAAGGGAACCGGTTATCTGTTGCTTTGGTGCTTCTATCAAACTAGGCATGCACGACAATGCCACCAACTGCCTCTACCTGCGTATGGAGGCAATTTGGGTGGGCTTCTCTTGGCGACGTTTGCCTGGTTCGGGCCTCGTCTGCCCCACGATCGGCAGGCCCAGTCCAGTATGACCACTGCCGGGTGCCGCACTAAGAGAGGAAGATGGTGTTGTCAGATGGTCCAGGGAAACTGGCAGTGACAGGATCGATCGTAGTCGATTCCTTGTTCTCGTTCTTGTTTTTGTGTTTATGCTTGTCAATCTCTCTCTGATCGTCCAGGTATCACGCTGTTCAAGTCTTGGAGAGAAGGGTCTTCCCGCGTAGATTATTTGAGTGAGTTACCACGTCACACCCGGAAGCGGTTCATGGCGGATAACCGAAATAACGAAGGCGGTGCGGCGCGTGCGGTGACACTTCGTCTTCGTGGTACAATACCATGGGTGATCTCTCTCTTGGTCTCTCCCTCCTTCGCCCCCCTCTTCTTTTTCCAAGTCACACAAGCCAAGGGGAAGAGGTTGAGAGAATCAGAGACAGACAGCTCGAACATCCCCCCTCGCCCTCTCCAGTCTCAGCCAGCAGCCCCCCTGTTTGCTGCTCGCTGTGGCGTTCGAGGGGCGTGACTTGGACTTGGGCTAGAGCGATGCCTTCGTGCTTAGACGGTGCCGCTGTCAGATGTCAATGAACTCCTGAAAACGCACGCACAGAAAGGCGGAGGAGGCCCTGACTTCATCCTACTGAACCTCAAGAAAGCGGTGTGGTGTCTCAGTTATTGCGGACACTGCGATCGTGAGGACTGGGTCTCTGTACGGATGTATCGTAGGTAGGCAACCCGCAGACGACTTGTAGCGGGGCGGGAAAGAGACCATGCAGCGGATGGAGTTGGGGGGGTTACAAAAATTAAGGGTATCAGCTCTCCTCTTTTCCCCCTGCCAGAGCTGAACTCCAGGGTCCATCCGACCAGATTCGGTGAGGCCGCTTTGCGATCAAGGTGGAAGCCGAAAGAAACGCCCTGGCATTTGCTTGGAATAGCGTTGTGATGTGGGTGGCTGTGGTATGGAAGCCGATTGGCGTTTGGGCGTCGTCACCCACTCCCCCCAGCTCACTCACATCGGCTGGCGATTAGATTTCCTTCCAGCCAGCCTCCAAGGCGGGACACAGGCAGTCATCTCATTCCAAAAGGTAGGTATTGTAGCTTCTCCGCTCTATGACGAACAAAGCTGAGTACACTGAGTAAAGCAGTGAAAAGCGCCAGTGGGTTCGTGGAACACGGCAATTGCATTTTCAAGCCATCTTGTACGACATATGCTTTTTGTATGCTTCACTCCGTCTAATCATCTACTACAGCGCCGTAGCAACGTGAGCCCGCCCGAGTCAGCGAAATGCTATTGCCTATAAACATCAATTATCAAAGGCAGCATCGTCGTTTTTGCTCCTAGCAATTCCCGCTAGCTTGTCCATAATCTTCTCATCAAAGACTTTTGTCATGAAAGACTTGTCAGCCGATCCCGTCATCTCTGAGAGCTGGGAACCAAAGTCTCCCAGCTTCCCATGTCGTTGGGTCCATCATCGCCCAATGCGTCTAGCAAGTCCACCGGCGCCTTCTTCTTTGCCGGGATTCTCGGTTTTGGTCGTTCCTCATCAGCCCTCATCCCCGGTAGAGCGACGGCTCCAGCCATCGGAGTGTGCCTGCCGGACTCAATAGTCATAGTCCCCGCTCGCTTGGGAGGCTTAGCTGGCGTACCTACTGGCTTACGCAGAGTGCCTTCCCTACTCGCACCAAGATTCGTGAAGCCGGTCGAGGCCCGGACCGGTAGTGGTGGTTTTTCTTCCGGCTCGTCTCTATACTGACCCATCCCATTGCTACTCAGAGATGAAGATGCTGCAGCCGGTGCTGTAACCAGGTGTGCCGGCTTCTTCGCTACGGGTGGTGCCGGTTTGGATTTGGATTGCGACGACATCTGCGAAAGCTGGGAAATGGCAGATGACGGCCGCGGAGGAGGAGGCGTCGTTGTCGTACTTCGCGATTTATTGGAGGGTATCAGTGGTGGATGCTGGATTGCGGCGCTTGCTCCCGTCTGTCTTCTAGGTGGCGGCGGCGGCGGTGGCGTTTCTCCGCGTTGAGACTTTTCATCCTTGATGCTGAGGCCGTTGAATTTACCTGGCATACCTGACGGATCAAAAGGTGGAGGCAGTTTTCTCGTTATCCGGTTCGTTGCTGACGACGAGAGATCATTGGGAGCAGAAACATGCTCGTATGGCGAAGTTGATACGCTGGAAAAAGACGACAGTCTTGACCTGGGTACGTTGACCCAGTCCGGCTCTCCAGTCGGCGTGAAAGGATTGGGCGCCCTATTAGGATTGAGTATTGCGGCGTGGCCCTCGGGAGCCGTCGGTTGCTTGATGTCAACTCTGGCCTGCTGCTTGTTCTCCAACCACCATTTCTGGCGGTCAGAGCTGGCAGGAGGCAGCCCAGGCTCGATAGCTTCATAGCCAATCAGATCCTCATCGTCGGTTTCCTCTGAGTCGAGGTTCGCCGTCGTGTCTCCCACTTCGGCCTTTCGCCGTTGGTATAGCTCTTTGCTGATTTGATCCCGGAAAGCTTCATCGACAATACTGACGTTGCACTGGAATAGAGCATACACTGGCCGATGATCCGAGAACTTGAGAGGGGCTGAGTTGTACGCTAATTGACGCAGGCTCCCACCCTTGCGCAGAATACGATCGGTCCAGGCTGGGATACGGGCCTTCTCGCTGTGAGGGGTCAGTTTTTACGTTCTCAGAAATATCGACCTTTTTCACGTACGAAGTATCATAATTGTCCGTACCAAGATCGAACTTATATGTAGGCAGGAAATTGATACGGGCCTCTGAGTAAAAGGGAAACGCAAGCCCTGCGATCATTTGCAGGTTCAACTACCAAGAAGTCAGCACGTTGATGAGAGACACCTGAATTATATTCTTTACTCACCTGATCGTTCTCGTAAAGTGTCTCCAGATCGCCCTTTTTGATGAGACTGCGGGCGTTCTCGGAACTGAGACCAATTCTGTAGTTGAAGTCTCCCAGCCAAACAACAGCATCTGCTCCAACGTCAGCTCCAAGCTCATGGGTACTCTTAGTCTTCGGGATGAGTATAGCTACCGTGATCGTCGATCCCACGGTTCCGCTGGAAGCGCAGCCCGTGGTGGATCGTTGCGTAATCTCTATTTCTCTCGTCATAATTCGAAAATCCGGCAGCCAAATGGGCCGTCACGAAGCAGATGTGGGTATTCGCATAGTCAAATCGTATGGCAACCGCTCCTTTGTTGCCGGCCATTCCCGACAGCCCCGTCTTCTTGACGCTTCCCTCAACATTCTTAATGTTGGCCAAAGCCGATGCCTTGACAAAGATGCATAATGCTGCGCCGACGAGTTGTCCACTTCGGAGCAATACGTATCTCTCTCCGTCAAGCGATTTGGCGCGTTTGTTGAGGCATCTTCTCACTGCGGCTTCCCAAAGTTGTTTTCTTGATGGGTCGCTGTTCATGATTTGTTGTGGGCTTAACTCGACAATCTCTTGGAACCCAACAGCAACAATTTCGGGCTGCACATTGCCAAGTTCTGCTGGAGACAACCATGCATCAAGATCGCTATCGACGCCTTCAGTGCGACCGTTGAGGTTGAAAGTACCGACCAACCTACGCGGGTAAGTATGAGAGACTAAGGATGCGGACAGAATTCTTACATGCTTATGTCCTGTGTGGACGAGAACTCAGCACTTCTCTTTGTCAATTCTCCAGAAACGTAGTCACTTATAGGGTCGAAAAGAAGAACGGGGAGTTGGTTGACCAGCCGCCCTAGCAGCCGGTCAATGGTCGTTTGCCTAGCCGAATCTGTGAAATTATTGTGATAGAGACGCTGGACAGATTTGCGCATGTCCGCAACAGCTCCAGCAAGGGACATTTTCCCAGAACGGGTAAAGGATGATTTGAGCGCACCGGTTCCCGCGTAGATCTTCGATAAAGCGTCTCCGTTATCTGCCCATAACGTCGAGTGTCGCATCCAGAAGTCTGAGGTGGCATACTCGCCTCGATGGCCCAGGAAAGCCTCCGTAGCCATCTGAGAGATGAGGGTCTGGATCAAATTTGTCCTATCCAGACAGTCGAGACAATTTGTTCGGAATACACCCTCTTGCTGGAGAACCACAACCATACGGCTTGAGCCTTGGCCGTCGTTGGCATCGGCGCCTAAGTCTTCGCTCTGCTCCGCCAGGTAGTAGGCGAAGCCGTCTATCGAGTTCTCAATGTATCTGCGGATCTGGCGCGCAGCCTCGTACCCTCCAGGGCCTTTCGTCTCGGCATGGAAGTCGTAGTGAGTCTCTCTCAACAGCGCATGGTCTTGCGACTCGTGCTCCCCGACCTGGCTTAATGGGCAATGTTCTACCCCAAGGTGGTACAGCTGACTGAGCTGCGCCTCGCCAGGTTTGCCTTCACTCAAAAGATTGACCACGTGAACGGCGCCGTAGGCTTGCTCAAGGTCCGCGAAGTGTTTATTGAAGGCCGGCTGGGCTCCCTCGGGGGACCTGATAACGGTGATGTTTTGCTTGCCAGGGATGAGCTCCGCGGTCTGTTCCCAAAACAGAGGAACTGAACCTCTGACTTGAGCATAGGAAAAGAGAGTCCCGCCGGGGCTCCAGTATATGGTTTCTGTCTCGACAAAGTTTGCCACATTGCCGTCGTCGTCAATACCTCTGGAGTTGAATCGAGTTCCCGCTCTGCGACAAGAGAGTCTTGATACAACAGTCAAGTACGATGGTAGTCCGGTTGATCGTGTCTTTAGAGGAGCGCTCGTCTGGGGGATGGCCATTGTCCGACAGAACCCACGGATAGCAGATGTGAGGAACCGTGATGAATCCAAAGCTTCGCGCTCCTGGGGCTGCAGTCGCGATCTGAATTGGACCAATGGGCTGATCATATACGAGTTCCACAGGAAAGAATCGTCAAAGTTGTCAATGTCAAAAGTATAAGAATTCACGGTCCTAGACGGTCAGCGACGCATTGGTGCCGGAACTGGACACGATCGTACCTATCTTGCAACCTGTTTGTGAGATCGAAGTCGGTGCTGTAGTAGAATGTACCATTTCCCAGAAGTTTCCGAAGGTCCGTACAAGGATGTTCTACCTGAAGCTCCCGCCCTCTGAGGTTCTGGCCATATACAGAGTTGGCATCCGAGACCTCGGAATCCAGAGGATCGAGAGAGACAACATCGTCCCACTCGCTTCTGTTGAGGCAGAAGAATGCAACGCTCGCAATCCGTTCCACGGTCTCCCCCGGCCTAAGGGTAGCGACTCTTGTGGCATGTGTCACAACGGAAAGGAACACGTCGCCCTCTACAGAGATCAAACCCAACGTTCCAAAGATGGGTCGTGGGGTCAGCGGTCGGTATTCGGCGAGCGTCTTTTTTGTGATCTGAGTGAACTCTACCATGCATTTCGAGGCAGCAGGGTCGCCGTTGGGTCGTGAGCGGGTGGATGCGAGGGAAGTAAGGGAGCCGTTTGCGCCGGCGTTGGAGGAGCTGTAGCGAAATATGAGAGCATGGGAGGACGAAACTATTGCGATGGAGCGATGAGGGTAGTCTCGAATGTACAGCTGGCTAGACTTTTCTGGTGCCGGCACCTGAGAAGGCCAAGTCCCAGAGCTAGAGTAATCCATGATCGTTCGGAGGTGTTGCTGACAGGTTCGGGGAAGCACAGGCGTCGCAGGGCATGCTTGGACGAGTTCGGTTGTTCATCGAAGGGCGCCGTCGTCGGCGGGCTAGTGAAGTTAAGGCCGATGACGATAACGTGTGAGAAGGAGACTATCGGTGCGGAACGTTGTCGTTTTGTTGGAGCAAAGTAGGAGCTTAGAATGGCTTGACAGCCCCCAAAGGTTTATGGCGTTTGGCAAAATGTCGCGGCTGACAGTAGCGGGATTTGGGTCGCCAACACGGAGCCCGACAATGACGTCCGTCCCGGCGGAGGTAACCAGGGGCATAGGACCGCTGTACGTTTAGCGCCTACCTTAAGCTCCGACTGGCCTGGCAAGTGGGAGGCAGCTCGCTTCCTTCCAGGTGGTTTCAGCCTCACGGACCACCTTGCCTTCCAGGTTGTCGCCACCTGGGAGGAAGCAGCCGGCTTGCGCCTGTTGCATGGCAGGGATATGGTCTGGTGTTGTCTCAAGTCTGCGAATACCTAAGGTAATTCAGCATCGATCTCAGCATACCTAAGGTAGGTACGAGTATGGAAGGAATATTAGCAACACCCTCAAGATATATCGCGATAAGTCCCTTTCCTTTTTTTTTTCCTTTTTTTTTCCTTCCTTTCCAGCTGTGCAGTAATTCGGTAGTCACCGCGTAGTAATTTTGGATACAAAGACAGTCAGGGAACGACATGTTCAGATGCAGCCCTTGGAACGGCACAAGGTTCCATTTAAAGAAAAAGCAACAAGCTAAACTGGACATGCGATGAACCCCGCCCAACCTATACAGAAGTGTTACAGTAGTCAAAACATCTTGCAATATATTTACGAATTATGCTCGGCTGTAGACAAAGTGTCACTAGCTTTGTGGCTATATAATGCAACTTTACGCTGGCAATGGCTCGACCACTACAGCGCAATTCTTAGAATCATGAGATGAGACGGGAGCTTCTATAATAAATATGGGCCCGCGCCGTGGTACGTGAGGTAAGGTCGGGAATTCGCACCTGCCTTATCAACGTACCTTACCTCAGGTATGGAAGGTACTCTGACCTCCACTATCGATTATTCTGCCTCTCAAGCGTTTATGTTATTGTTACCTGCAGCGTCTCTCCTTTCTCTCCCTCTTTCGCTACCTTAGGTACTTGATTAAATGTGACAATGGCAATGTTCACCTCATACCCCCCAGAAATCATCGCCCGGGTGATGGCCAGCTGTGAAAGCTTCAATGACGCATTCGCTCTTGCCAGCTCCTGTCAGTATACTTACGCAGTGTGGTTGGACCATGGCGCGAGCTTCATCCATAGCATTGGCACTCGAACGATCCTCGCGTACGAGTACGCTGTCGTTGCCGTAGGTATCTGCTTCCCCAAACATCGACAGGCCTCACCATCACTCACTTCAACCGCGTAGGTGCGCGCCACACATATAGTCAAAGAAGCCTTCCACGCCGGTCGGCTACCACCTGACATGACACACGATGACATCGAAGGGCTGAAGCCTTCTCACCAAAAGTGCCGTTCGTCCGAGTTGGCGGATTTACTTGCGTTCTGTCATCTGGCTGCGTGTTTGGAGTACGCGTACTTTCACATTGAGGAAGACGGGTATACATGTTTATTATGCCCCGAGATCAGAGACATCACCTGGTGTACCAAAGACGAGCCCGTATTCGATCAACGTTTTCACGATTTCCAAGAAAAGTTCCATCGAGTGCTGTACAATAGCCTTCTCGCTGGCGCTTTCTTATGGAAGTCCCATAATGAGCTATTCATCAAAGCTGTTGGAGACGGGGGCGCAGGGAAACGCTTTCTTGAGGAGCTTCGATCACTGCAAGCTCGCCAAGATTGGCAAGGTCTTTCGGACGACAGCCAGGCATATATTGCAGAATACCCGGCGTACGACGTCCACAAGATGACACCAGCCAGTCAAGAAAAGGTGTTCGGGCATCTTGCTCGTTACTTGATAGAAGACATAGCCATTGTCTCAGACTCGGCCTGTGCCACCGACGTACCATGGGAGGTGATGGCTTCCATCTATGCCCATGAGTATCATTCACCCCAATTCTTTAACGCTGGTGGAAAGTGTCGCCATGGCTGGCTGCCGCTCAAGAACTCAACCGGTTCAGACCTGCCTCCCACGCGTAAAGTGACAGTTGTTCTGTTTGGGGAGTTTCAGCTAGAAGAGATATATATGCCTATCAGTATCGAGGACATACATCGTACGCGACTGGTAGCGACTCAATTACAGGCCTCGTCCTCAGAGAGCGCACAGGAGAGCAACCCCTTCGCTTGCCATGGCTTCGACATAGCGGCAACTTTGCGATATCGGTATCAGTCACTTGGTGGCGAGGAGGAGTTGGAGGATTGCGCTCCACACCCTCCTCTCCAGCTGTACACCTTCATGCTGGAAAAGTTCTATGGACTTGAATTCAGTCCATGCGTTTTTGACCGGACATATGGAGAAGGGTACTATATGACCTTTCTCTGGGAAACAATTTTTGGTCACGATTACCGCACCGGCTTGGACCCGACATTTTTAGATTTGCTAAATGCTTGCAGTAGGAACTGAGCACTGCTAGAAACCCTCACAGCGCTCGCGACTGGTTACGATGCTGTCTTTTCATCCCGAAATCAGCTGGAAGGTCTGCCGCCTGCTTTGAGACGTGTGCACTCAACTCATCAAGCTTGGTTTCGCAAAAAACACAACTTAGGCAGGCGGTGAGCTACGATAGGGGAACGAATGCCAGGGGGCAACCCTTTTCGTCGCTTCAGGATTGATCACGGGCAGAAACAATGTGCCTGGGTAGATACGGCACCTAGAATATGCTTGTCGGGGAAACGAGCGGAAAGGGGGAAAAGATGTAAAGATGAGACGCGCAAAGGATGCCAGCCCTGGGGTTTGGGAAATGCCTTGCGGGCGCCAGAAAGAATAATAATGTCAATGCTTTGAGGCAAAGCAGGCTTCAGATATGTAAATTGAGATCACGCTGCCACCTTGGGTGGTCAGTCATTCTCTTCCTATCATGTATTGTATGGTAATCATCACGAGCCTTATTGTGAAGAAGAGAAAAAAAGGAAAGGAAAGGTTTTTCGTGATTATCGGACGTCAAATAGGATCCACACGCGGCCGGTTGCTTACCTAAGTGAGCCCGCCGAAGATGGCCACCTGGGAAAAATCACGATTTGCGCCCTGGGGGGAAACGACCGGACGACGGATACAAAATGCTCCACACTGTTTTGCCGGCTCCGTTCAGTCGGGTGGGTTCTAGATCAGATTCTGGAAGTGCCATGCCATACACAGAGTGACAACGGCCATATAGATATAAGCAAAGCGGCAAGAAGCTGAGATGATCGGATGATGCAGCCTTCAATCGATCCACGCAAAGCATAGTACGCAGGTTGAAAATACACCATGGTACCATCCAGTGTACCTACCTATGCAGAACAGAGTACAGAACAAGGAGTGGGAGGCTTTGCTGCAAATAGAGATCGGGACGTGCCTGGCTAAACTCCTCGAGCCTGGAGAGCTGATGGGAGCGGCTCGTTGTGGACTGCCGACCGCCTGATCTCTTCAAGCTGTTGGCCGATCTGATTCGCTTCCGCGCGTCACTGATAAAGCACGGAGAGCAAGGGTTCGCCTGTCAAGGTACATTACTTCTGGGTGCAATGGCGCCAAAAAGACAAGTCCCTCCAGTCTCCAAGGCCAGGTACCCTGCCTCAGCCCCATTTCCCCCAGTTGCATGCAGAGATACCTGCCTGCCTGCGGTCAATCCGTACCTTTCATGCCCGTTCATAAAATTTCCAGCCCCCCTTCCATCCGCGACCTCGAAGCTCGACCCGGTCACCCACGATTCCAACGGCCACCAAACAGCCTCGAGACCCGCGGCGCCCTCACTCCATCATCTACAATCCCTTCCTGCTCCCTGCTGCAGCCCTCCGCAGTTCCACGCCTCGCCGACTTTTCCCTGGAAACTCAGTTATTCCGCCGTTCGTTATCCGAAATCTTCGCCCGTCATGTCTGATTATGACCACTTTGGGAGCTCCGAGGAGGAGAGCGCCGAGATCAAGAAGCTCCAGGCCGATGTGGTACGTGAACTGCGACACCAACCATGTCGCACCTGACATCAAAACCAATTGAAAAACATACTAATCTGATTCCGCGCCCACAGGAAGTCGATCCCGATAACTTCGAGACCTGGGAGAAGCTGGTTCGCGCCTGCGAGGGTCTGGAGGGCGGCCTGAACCGCAACTCCAGCCCTCAGGCCCTTGCTACTCTTCGAGATGCCTACGATCGCTTCCTCCTCAAATTCCCTCTGCTCTTTGGCTACTGGAAGAAATACGCCGACCTCGAGTTCAACATTGCTGGACCCGAGTCAGCAGAGATGGTGAGTCGTTTTCGTGTCGCATCGCGTCGCATCGCATCGCATTGCATCCCTTGGCTCCCGGCCGCGGCTGACATTGCGCTTCTTTCTAGGTCTACGAGCGAGGATGCGCCAGCATCACCAATTCTGTCGACTTGTGGACCGACTACTGCTCCTTCAAAATGGAGACCACCCACGTCCCACACCTCGTCAGAGAGTAAGTAGTTGATGGTCGGCTTTCCTTCCCCCTTAACATCACCATCACCACAGCATGCCTCACCGGCCGCTCGGCGCATCGATCGAGCCATGCATGGACTCCATCCACTTGCCTTTCAAGTATCCGTCGGTGAGAAATGCCAACAGCAGCCCCATTGTTGGGATGCCCTCTCACGCTAGTAGTTACCAGGCTCTGCTGATTTCCACTTGACGATGACTGATCCGTTCGTTGTCCGCTCCACGTCGCATTCACACCACCACCACCACCACATCGCTCTCATTGGAATGCCTTACTTTGGGCTTGGATTCGCTAGTTGATTTCACTTGATACCCCCTCCTGTATAGCACGCCTCCCATTCCCCCATTCATCCCCTGTCCCTGCGCCCTTGGCTGTGTACTGACCATGCGCTCCAGGCTCTTTGAACGCGGCGCAACCTGTGTCGGCCTTGACTTCCTCGCACACCCGTTCTGGGATAAGTACATAGAGTACGAGGAGCGACAGGAGGCCCAAGACAAAATCTTTGCCATCCTGTCTCGAGTCATCCACATTCCGATGCACCAGTATGCTCGTTACTTTGAACGATTCCGCCAGCTCTCCCACAGCCGCCCCGTCACCGAGCTGGTTCCGGCTGAGACGCTGCAGAGATTCCAGGCCGAGGTGGAAGCCGAGAGCGCCCAGTATGCCGGTGCGCAGCGAACGGAGCTCGAGGTTGAACGCGACGTCCGCACCAAGATTGACGCCATGTACTATGAGTACTTTACTCAGACGCAGTCTGAGACCAACAAGCGATGGACCTACGAATCCGAAATGAAGCGCCCTTACTTCCATGTTACGGAGCTTGAGAGCTCGCAGCTCACCAACTGGCGCAAGTACCTTGACTTTGAAGAGTCCGAGGGGAATACCACCCGCATCGTCTTTCTTTATGAGCGATGCTTGGTGACGTGCGCTTTCTACGATGAATTCTGGTTCCGCTACGCCCGCTGGATGTCCGCACAAGAGGGCAAAGAGGAAGAAGTCAGGATCATCTACCAGAGAGCCGCCACCATGTTCGTACCCATCAGCCGGCCCGGCATCAGACTGCAGTTTGCCTACTTTGAGGAAAGCTGTGGACGTATCGACATAGCTCGCGATATTCATGCATCCATCCTTATGAAGTTGCCCGACTGCATTGAGGCCATCACCTCATGGGCTCACCTCCAGCGTCGACAGAGTGGACTGGACGCCGCGGTTGAGGTTTTCAAGGCGCAGATCGATTCGCCTCAAGTGGATATCTTTACCAAGGCAGCTCTGGTCACCGAGTGGGCGTTATTCTTATGGAGGGTCAAGGGCTCAGTGGAAGAAGCACGTAACGTCTTCCTCAAGAACGTACAGTGGTACGCCGACAGCCGCGTCTTCTGGGACAAGTGGCTCGAATTCGAGCTTCAGCAGGCGACAAGCACGGAGCTGGAGGATCAGCACGGCGACCGCATCAAGCAGATCTTTGACGAACTCCGGAGCAAGAGCCGTTTGTCCGCTTCAACAAAGAAGGAGCTGTATCAGATTTACCTATCATATCTGCAGCAGCGGGGCGGTAAAGACGCGATGAAGCAGTTCCTTGCCATTGATCGGGAAATCTTTGGGTATGTGAAGCCTTCTACCATTGTTTCATTCGAGTCAGAAGCTAACGATATCTGATAGGCCAGGTTCGATCTCACTGCTGGCCAAGGACAAGGTTGGCGGAAAAGAGAACGGAGCTGCCGTGGCTGAGTTGGACGAGGTAACAAGATACCGAGCCGAAGCCAGGTATCTGAGATACTACGAGCTCCAGGGCGAGCCAGACCTCGAGGGACAGGCCACAGCGCCATTCAACTAAGCGGACGTGACACCATTTATCGTGGTGTTTGTGTTAATGCTCTAGGAGTTTCCGGTCCCTTGGGTATTTTTACTACTCGATTTTCTTGTACTATATGAGTCGATTTGACGACAGATGATGTGCGGATGGCCGGCTTCGGAGAAATTGTATTGTATCCAGTGTTATGAAGGTGGTCTACATAAAGACCGGCGACGGCCCAAACGGATAGACCATGACTGTCGGGGGAAGAGAGGGTTCGCTGAAGACGCCAACTAGGTCGATGTTGTAGCTCTTTAGCACTACGAAACGCATCATCGCAGCAGAAATAATAGCTCATCAAATGAACATTGTTAAGAAATGCAGAGCCCTTGCTTTCGTAACCGATACAAGCGCCGTTGACCAGCGACGGAGGGGTCCCGGTATCCACGTACTAAGGCATAACGATGTCGGTGGCCGGCTGCAGGTACCGGTAAGGTGCCGGCGTTTAGCTACGGTCAGCACCGCCGATGGAAACCGGTGGTCGCCGAAGTCCCATAACTAAAAATGGTAGGTGGAAGGACCTTCGCCGGCCTCGAAGGTTCGGATGGTGCTCATACCTCGGGCTGTACAAGGATTTTCAAAAGCAAAGGCTGGATGCATGTAATGTCACTGGCGAGTACTCCGTACATATGGAAGACGCATTGAAGTGTAGGTGTAAGAGTTGCAGTCTTGGAGCCCGCAGCCGTCCTGTACCGCCGGCATCGGGCAAAAAGCGTAAGTTGTCGGTAAAGAGAGTCCCTCCTGCGTAGATAATGCAGGTGAAGAAGGGCTGATTACCAAGCAGGAACAGGGGTGTGCGAATTGAGTTGGCACCCGCCGCGGATTCTAGTGAGTCTGGACAAGGAAGTTTTTGCCCGTTTTAGATGGTGTCATGGTGAAGAGGCTAAGAAAAGGGTTCAGATTTTCCGCCCTATCAGGGACGGGGCTGGGCTACGTTTCCCGAGGAAACGGTTCCAGGATGCGAGAGCACCGTTTTATTTTATTTTTTTTGGTAACAGCGCCGTTGAGGAAGAGAGAGAAGAAAAAAAGGGGGACTAAAGAGGTGGTTTGCGTCGTCGGGAAGATTGGCTAACGGGCGCGGGGCCACGTGCACCCCGAGCATTGTGCATTTTTCTCAGCATTTTCCTCAGTTCTATTATTTTGGTAGAAGAGAGTGATACTAGATATCTTACTCCGCACTGAATGAGATAACGTGAGTTCGGATACGAATCCGTATGATGGCGTGAGGTTGGAGAGGGAGCATCCGAACCCGTGGGAAGTGGAGGCGGCGGGGGTGTTACCGGAGGAGGTAGCCGGTGGGAATATGGCGACAACGGCAGGCTCCTAGTCGTCATAAAAGACTCTTGTCCCTTCCTTGAGGCGTGATAGTAAGCAAGACGCCGAACAACCGAGAGCGAGAGAGCGAGCATTGCGCGCCATGATGATGCGGTGCAACCCAGTTTGATCCAGGTGTTGTAAGCCCGGGATGAAGGTTTACGGCAGTCGTCGTTCCCAATTGAGCATGAGCAAATCCCGAGAAACCGCGTTGGTGAGGCGAGCAATAGCTTTTGACAAGTCAGCGTTGCTGTGAAGTCATAAAGCACGTTGCAGATGTTTCGTGTCGTAGAGAGATGGGTGCAAAAGTAGATTGATTGCGTTCATGAGATTTTGCCCAGCAGCCGTGTGGTAGCTTTTTTCGGGGCAACTCTCAGATTCGCTGGGAAACGTGCCTGCGTCGTTTTTTCCCTTCCCGACTCCCCGAGCGGCGAGCCCCATCTTACCATGCATCGCCGTCCTGGACCTGGGGCCGTCTTTGAGCCCTTGGGGTGAGGTGGGCTTGGCTTTCTGAGTCAACGGATGCGATGGGGAAACTGGGTACGGCGGGCAATTAATTACAAATACTGCAAGATGAAAGGACAGACGCGCGTGGTACAGTCAGCGGGGAACATTCGGCCAGCTAGCCGAGGGATAACTTGGAACGACGGATGTAGGTACTGTCGTTAATTTGGGAAGCGTGAGATATCAAAGAGGTTATGACATGAGTTGAAGACATTGATATTCGGTGTCTGGACTTTTTTCTTCTATGCTTATGAAATCATCCCTCGGAGATGCTCGGTTAGGGAGTGCAGCCGATTACGTATCGGAAGTCAGAACGACATAGTAAGGCAAGGTAAGACTGAAGTAAAATAAGGACGGAAACGGTTTAGAAGCCATGTGGCATGTGTCAGCGTAGACTGATATCATCCCGTGCGGCGCACCTTAGCTCAACAGCCCGTGCCATTTTGCAAGATACGGCGGGCGGTATCGGGGACCGGTACCTTACGTTTGGAAAGTCGATATCGGGCTCTGGTTTGCTAGCGCAGCAACCACCACACACACCTCTTCCACCGTTTTAAGCTTTAATACCCGTGGCCTACATGTGCCCGTAAGAAACGCGAAGGAAGAAAAAAGAATTGTCACAAATACGGACACCAAACAGCCGCACAAGCGGGCTCCACAACGAACGAAGCCTAGCAAACGTAAATGGGAGCACAACACAAGTCTAACAAACTTGGAATATCCACATGCGCAGGCGGTCCCACTGTCCGTCCACGTCCATCGATCCTTGCAAGCAGACCCCCGACGCAAGCCCATGGAAGAAAAAGATGGATACCCGTAACCCCCCCGGTTGACGCTGGAGCTCCTGCTTCTGACCACTCACAGGTTCCCAATTTCTCATTTCACAGGTTCACGGGTGCCAGAGGTCCCCTCCCTCGGTTCTTGACCCCCCCTTCCCGATGGGCAATGGACCGTGGAAACTGACTCTACCTCTTGTTAGTGTCAAAGGCAGGCTGATGCCGGTGCAGGGTACATTGGTATTTCTCAAACGCCCCCGGGGCAACGAACATTCGAGGTTTATATTCCAAGGGCCGCGCCGCCAGTCTCTCCTTTCACTTCGTTTCCCCCCTCTCCTTCGAAAGCTTCCTTCCCTTCTTCTACTTCCTGCTATTGTGTTGTTGATTCTCCCCGGAACTCCATAAACACCTCACCAAAGCTTCCTCCAAGGTTAGTAGTATTCAAACTCCCGCCAGAGCTCTCTACACAATCCCCTTTGTCGTTGAGCTCCTATCCTGCCGCCTTATCTCATACCGAGATTACCCGAAACACGTGTGTCTCTCAACAGACACACACCACACACTCCCACGAGAAACAACCCCCCAATCTGACATTCCAACTCGCGCAGATGGCCGCTTCCACAAGACAGTTCGCCCGCGCGGCGCTGAGAACCTCCACCAGAACCTCCTTCGCCGCCGCCGCCCCCCGCCAGGCCTTCCGCCAGCAGGGCCGTCGTCTCTACTCCTCTGAGCCCGCCAGCAAGTCCGGCAGCTCGACCTGGATCTGGCTCTCCGGTCTGGCCGTCGCCGGCGCAGGTGGCGCCTACCTCTTCACTAAGGAGGGCGGCGTTTCCGCCGGCTCCGTCCCCAAGGTCGTCAACCCCACGAAGGCCGACTACGAAAAGGTGTACAAGGTCATTGCCGACCGCCTCGAGGAGAAGGACGACTACGATGACGGCAGCTACGGCCCCGTCCTTGTTCGTCTTGCGTGGCACGCCAGCGGTACCTTTGACAAGGAGACTGGCACTGGCGGCAGCAACGGTGCTACTATGCGCTTCGCCCCCGAGTCTGATCACGGCGCCAACGCTGGCCTGAAGGCTGCCCGTGACTTCCTTCAGCCCGTCAAGGGTAAGTGAAACCTTTTGTTTCTGAGTGACTCGCAATGGGAAGGGCGATCTGGAAGTGAAGCGCAACGTCTTCTGCATTGGTTGCCAATGGAACGAACATTCGCTGACGTTCTCCCGCAGAGCAATTCCCCTGGATCACCTACTCCGACCTCTGGATCCTTGGCGGCGTCGCCGCCATCCAGGAGATGCAGGGTCCCATTATCCCCTACCGCCCCGGCCGCAAGGACGGCGAGGCCGCCGCCTGCACCCCCGATGGCCGTCTCCCCGACGCCTCCCAGCGCGAGAAGCACCTTCGTGACATTTTCTACCGCATGGGCTTCAACGACCAGGAAATTGTTGCCCTCTCCGGCGCCCACGCTCTTGGCCGCTGCCACGTTGACCGCTCCGGCTTTGACGGTCCCTGGACTTTCTCTCCTACCGTCCTGACCAACGACTACTACAAGCTTCTCCTGAACGAGAAGTGGCAGTGGAAGAAGTGGGATGGTCCCGCTCAGGTAAGCCAAAGCCAACTTTCTTTTGATCTTTACCGTCTTGGCGTTCTTGCCGACTTGGCGGGGAGTTGAAATCGTAAAAACGAGACATGGATGTGCTAACGATTTTGACCGCGCAGTACGAGGACAAGGGCACCAAGTCCCTGATGATGCTTCCCGCCGACTACGCCCTAATCCAGGACAAGGCCTTCAAGAAGCAGGTCGAAGTGTACGCCAAGGACAACGAGGCCTTCTTCAAGGACTTCTCCAACGTCATTGTCAAGCTGTTCGAGCTCGGTGTTCCCTTTGCCCAGGGCGCCGAGGAGCGCTGGACCTTCAAGCCCACTTGGCAGGACTAAAGCAGTCGCTTAATCCTGTTTTTGAGAGACTGACTGAAGGAAAGGGGAGATGAATAAATAGAGCAAAGAAGAGAGATTTAGACTTGGGAGGTGAGAGAGAGATATCCACGCGGAATGGGCGTACCGAGAGATAGAGAGGAGGAAAGAGTCTGTTCGAGAGAAAGTGGTGGCCACTTGATGGCCCCTTTCGTCGAACTTGGTTTTCGAGCGACTGACCAACTTACCTGTAGTCCACTCCTGGACTTGTTTCCATATTTTTGTTGTTTTATGTCCATAGTTCCTGTACAACATCAACACGAACCTTTGAAACACTAAAGCATCCTTGGCACCGACGACAAAAATGTCGCCCAACAGAGTGCATGAACGGAAGGTGACATGTAGTCGGAATAGAGGTGAGATGAGATGAAGGGGGAAAAGGAACGAACTGCCGGCTGTCGGATCGTCCAGACACTAAATAAGAAAAATAGGAAAACCCCTGGCCTGGTTTTCCCCTCTCCCCGCGAAAGGTTGACAAGCGTCACCACATCGAAACCTGACCCCGGATGGACGGGATGGACGGGAGCCATGCTCGTTGCGCGTCATGCATAGCTGCGTGGTGGTCTGGAACGAGCAGGTGTGTGTCGGTTGGGGCGGGACCAATCCTGGTCGGTGACTTGGTACATCATCACCACCACCCACCACCACCCAACCGGACGCCATGTGCATCCTAGCGGCCTTGCTACCCCGGATTAGGGGGGAGAGAAACATGGGGTAATGAACGGCGCTTTCCCCCGCATTCTGTGTCCCATGCAGGCACCATCGTTCTATGCAGCTTCATGTTTCGGTGTTGGAATGGTTGGTACTTTCGGACGACGGTCGTTATTTCGTGATGGGGGTCCAACCCGTAAGTTTCTGGAACGAGTCTCTAACGAGTACACTCGCGTCTCATTTAGCCCTCGTCTATGAGCGATGCAGATGGATGCCGAGTCTGCACTGAAGACTAGCCCGTGATACAGGCCGCGCTTCTCCTAGATAAGATTGTCGTGTGTGACCCTGGTCCATCGTTGCAGAAGGGAGGCGAAGCTCGAACCTGTCTCGAGATGCATACATTCCGAAGTAGGCAGGTAGCTGTGCTCCAAGTCCTGGAAAATTACTCCGAACCGTCGCTTCGTAAGTCTGGCACACCCAGCATCTCCAGCATCTCCAGCTTTGCGGAGGCACTTCGCTCGTCCAACTGAATGTTCGTATACGTTCTTGTATCTAACAATAATGTGTTAGTCTCTTTCATTCTTTTTCCATGTAGCCGGCGGTGGAAGACAGCGATATCTGTGTGGGTACCTGGTGTGCAATTCTGCGACGAAGATCCAGGTAGCTCGTGAGAACCGGATTAACGGTTTTGCTGTCAACATTGACGAACTCTTTTGGTTTCACGGTAATTCCAGTGAGGCCATGATGTGTCGAGGCGGAGTGAAACTTGGGAGATGCATGAATGAGCCTGACGCTCCATGGTCAACGCTGTGATATTGCAAAGATGAACGACACTAACAGGCCGTGCGTGTCGTTCTTCGCCCTAGCTTCTATTGAGCTTTGCCAAGTCCAGTGTCGCGAAGGATGTTTCCATCAGGCTGGGGATCTTGGTGGTCCTAAGCATCAGATGAAGCGGGAAGGGGTGACAGCTGCTGTGATGATTCAAGGAGGTGGAACGAGATTTGTATCTTTCGGGAGACGGACCAGCCCGGATGACTGGAACGAGTTAAGAAAATTATTTCGAACACTGTCCTTGCAATTTGAGGATGAGGTGCAAAGACAGCCGAGCCCACATCTCTCGTAACACCGAAGAGATTCGGGGTGGGAAGAGACGAGGATGGATATAAGATGGAGAACATAATGTAACCAAGCGGCGGTCTACTGAGGGCGACTTACTCGAGGTGAGTGCAGTGCGCAAGGGACCACATCGAATCACGATTGGATTGATCTCACTTTCTCCCACTGTCTTAATGCCATTCTATAAAGAAGTAAGTATCTTCTGAATGACCGGGAGCTCCGTACCTGATTCAGAGTTTCCGCCCGGCGCAGCTAAAATGCCGGCCACGGGTGAGCTGCGCCGAAAATCGGCCCCCACTATCCGGGGACCCACAAGAGCTCTGCAATCGAGGACGCTGCATCTTCAAGTGACATCCACCCCAGTAAAAATTATTGCCATCCGGTCCTCAATCGACATCACCATCACCTCAACATCACTCCGCATCCAAACCACACACGGCACTTGAACGCCGTCTGCATACGAAACGCATACGAACTTCCACGAGAGCTACAACCCAATTCGCGACGCCCGCACCCCCTGCATACAATATACACGAACAATGGCCTCCTGCCGGATCCCAGCCCTGCGGCACCTGGTCACCACCTCCCAACGCGCCTTCCGCGCCTCAAACCAACGCCGCTGGGCCCAGGTCCACGATGCCCGCTTCCTAGCCACGACCCAGCAACCGCGCGCCGTCGTCGAAAAGTACCGCGCCAAGCTCGAGAAAAAGGCCCAGCAGGAGGGCGTCTCCAACATTGACGAGCTCAAGGCCGCCTACGCCGACAAGATCCAGGAGCAGAAGAAGAAGGACGCCCTCTCCGTGCCGGGCCTCGAACACCTTCTCAACGACGAGCCTGCGCCCGCGGCGATACCGACGACGGCTACCACAACGAGCGAGACGGAAGCCCAGACACAGACAAAGCAGACGGCCCCGATCCCGGGATCCTCTTCCTCAGGCAACGGTGTCAAACCCCTCGACGAGATCCTCGACCTCCCCAAGGTACGCGAGCTTCCCGACAAAGAACTCACAGCCATCTGGCGCCTCCGCCACGCCTCGGACCCGTCCTCCCTCTGCGCCGTCATCCCGGCCGCGACCTACGCGCAGATGGAATCCCTCGCCCGCCAGAACCCGCAATTCATCCTCCCCGTCCCGCACGAGTCCCAGGGCGCCGAGATCCACTTCCTGCAATGGGTCTTCGACGCCGCCTCGCGCACCGCGACAGTCATGTTCACGCAGCTGGCCGAGTTCAAGGCGCGCGGCGAGTTCGCGCAGCCGCACACGACCATCACGCACCACACCGACCTCGCGGCCGAGAGGGGCCTCGTGCTGATGCAGGGCAAGTGCCTCGAGGACCGCGGGGTCAAGACGGCGCACGCGCAGTGGCTTGTGCTGTGTCTGCAGCGGTTCTACGGCGAGGCCGAGGGTAAAGAGAGGGCCGAGGAGAGGAGGAAGCTGTTGGAGTGGTTCCGGTTGGGAGACGAGCGGTTTAGTGTCGAGAAGCTTATGGAGGAGGCGGAGCGCATTAGCTAAAGTTCAGAGGCTTTTGTTCTTGCACGGTGAAGAGGGGGAGGGTATGACTGAGATACCTTCAGGCGAGGAGGATAGATGGCGAGCCCACGAAGAAAAGAAGGGGGCTCTTGTACACATGTTCCAGGCGGATCATGTAGAATCACAGAAAAATATACCATATGCTATGTATACCACATCATTACTTCAATTGCGCAATGACTCTCCCCATAGGGCCCATTGGGAACAGAATACCCCACACAAATTCTGAGTTTACATTTCAAAGATGCTGTGTCAGTATCTCGATGGCCCTTCATTTTTTTTGCTCTCTTTCCTAAAAGGCTAGTACAATCCCTCATCATCACTAGCCGTTCCATCCTGAAAAGTAGCAACGGCCTTACCCTTGCCCTTTCCCTTGCCATTCGTAACAGTGCCATCATCTTCGGACCCGTACTCATCATCATCACTATCCAGCGCCAAGGCCTTCCCCTTCCCTTTGGACAACGCGGCCGCAGTCGCCTTGCCCTTCCCCTTGGAGCTAGCCCTCGAAACAATCGAGGACGCAGAAACAGCTCTGTTGCCCCCACCCGCCGCGGCGGCAGCGGGAGCTGGCCGTTGCTGTGGCTGCTGCTGCTGCTGCTGCTTGTCCGGCGACCCCTCAAAGCTAGCCCTCACACTCTCGTAGTGCGCCAGCTCGCCGGCACTAACACTCGGTACGAGCTCATTATGCGCATTCATAAAGTCCTCCTCGGTGACCATCACAGCAATGTCTTCGGGCGTGGCGTGGTGATCGAAAAAGTAGGCCGTCGAGATGGGTCCCTGCGGCCTCTCGGCGTTGATTTCACGGATCTTTGCGTCGACAGCAGCGGCCTGCCGCGTGACGGCCTTGAGCATCGCGTCACTGCACAAAGCATAAAAGTCGGCTCCCGTGTAGGTGAAGGGCAGGCGATCTGCGACGGCTTGTAGAGATACTGCGGGGTGAAGGGTGAATCTAAAGGGGGGAACTGTCAGTATATAACATACGCAAGGTGGGTATTTTCGTGGAGGAAGGGGTTAGGGATCTTACTTCCTGGTGAGAGCCTCGAGAATCGTCCGCTGCTTGTCATGAGTATCTGACACGCCGAGATAGAGCATCTTGTCGAAACGTCCGGGACGGAGGAGAGCGGCGTCGAGCAGATCAGGTCTGTTCGTGGCGCCAATGACGAAGACGCCGCCACTGGTATCGTCGCCTCCCGACATTCCGTCCAATTCGGCGAGTAGTTGCGAAACGATGCGATCCATGACACCACCGCTGTCTCCCTGGTTTCCACGCTTTGGCGCCACCGAATCCAACTCGTCAAAGAAGACGACGCAAGGGCGGGCATCTCTGGCACGCTGGAATACACGTCTGACGTTGGCTTCCGACTCACCAATGTACATATTGAGTAGCTCGGGACCCTTGACACTGAAGAAGTTCAAGCTGTACTCCGTCGCAATAGCCTTAGCCAACAGGGTCTTTCCGGTACCGGGAGGTCCATAAAACAGGATACCCGACCTCTTCTTCATGCCCTTGGCGAAGAGTTCGGGCCTCTCGAGGGGCAGCTGAATGGTTTCCGTCACCGCATCCTTGACATTCGTCAGACCACCGACGTCGTCCCATGTGACGTTTGGAATCTTGGGCGCGCCGATGGCGCCTGCAAAGTTCTTTCGCGCGGCTTCGACCGCGACTTC